TCTCCTTGATTTCGTCTTTCTTATTCACTTGTTTGATCACAGGTTCAGTTGGTTCCATCTGGGTCTTCTTTGTTGACTTGGAAATTTCTGGCGCTGATTGATAAACTTGTGAATGAGAAGTTCTTGATGACCTCGATGACTCCTGTTTTCGCTGCCTGCTTAACGATGATTCCTGCAAACTGAATGAAGAAGTTCTAGAGCGCGGACTGGAAGAAGTTCTTCGTGCCCTCGAGGATTCTTTCCTTTCTGTCCTTCCTGTCTTCTGCCGGTGTTTAGGTGGAAAATCCTTAACTAAATCTTCCTTTAGAGCCTCCCAACTATCTTCTCTCTTTTGAAAATTCCACCATTGAAACCAGTCATCTGCAGCTTCCCCCATTGCCTTGGCTGCGACGTCCACCTTAAATCTTTCTGCTATAACTTGGACTCGGAAATATCTTTCCATCTTCTCTATCCATTCATAAGCTTCCTCCTCGTAGAATAGAGGTAATTTCTCCTTCTTTGAACTATCCGAATTTCGAGAAGTGACTTTAGATGAAGAATGTGAACTGTGAGAATCCTTTGGGGAAATCTGATGCAGAGAGCGATGATAAGAATGATGAGAAGAACTCTGCGAAGAGCGCTGTGAAGAACTTGGCGAGGAAACAGTTCTATCGCAAGATTTTCTGCGATGCCTCAAATCTTCGGATTCCTCTGGACTTGCTGAGTGCCGCGATTGATGGTTGTGAGAAGGACGATGCGATGCAGATGAGCGAGGTGATGCAGCTGAGGTGTGCGATCTACTTCTTGATCGATCTGTTTTTCGCGAGCTATGATGAGGGTCGCGATGCGATCTGTTTCGCGATCGATTCTGAAGTTTGTTTATCATCTCCGCTAAGCTAGCCTGCATATCTTCCATCATCGTGGTTAACCTATCGTTTGTCTCCTTCAACTGTCGGTCCATATTATCAAAACTCCTTTCCAATTGCGGTGTCAAAAATTCCTCCATCATTCAGATTCTCGGTCTCCAGGAAATAACGTCTCTGATACCAATGATAGGAACCTCCAGAAAATATACAGAAAGATCAAGAAACAAAATAGAAAAACTGTATTGATGAAGAAGATGAAACAATATCGGAAACAAAGGCCGAAGCCTCCCAAATGAGCCGAAGCCCCCCAAGAACGAGAATTTGCTCTCGCTCACCCAAGTCCCAGTCTGAAACGTCTAAACAGCCTGCTCCCTAATTTCCCCTTCCCGACTATTTATACTATACAATACCTCAAGTACCCTTATTACTAATATTCTTATTAATACTTCTATTATTAGTCTAATTTAAGAGGGTTCCTATCACCTTGTATCTTTTTCAGTTGTCCGTCCATTCCCCACTGAATAGTTAAGTGTTTGAAATCAGCTTCGACTTTTCCCAAACTAACTAGCCAATCCATTCCCAATATCATATCGGTTCCTCCGAGGTCCAGGATATAAAAATCCTGTTCAATCCATACGCCTTGAATGTTAACTAGTAGCTTCTCACACTTCCCTTGAGTATAGATATTCTCTCCGTTGCCCATTTCAACTTTGAACTTAGATGTCTGACTGGAAGTGGTAGGCAGTTCCAAAGTTGCAAAGACCCCAGTAGAAAGAAAATTGTGTGTTGCTCCCGAATCAATAAGTATGATTACAGTCTTGTCCTTCAAATGCCCTTTAACCTTGAAAGTGCCCTGAACTGGAATACCTACCTTGCTCAGAATTGTTAACTGTAGAGATTTCAATTCCTCCACAGGAACAACCTCTCTCTCACTCCCGAGTCCTCCTCTTCCTCTATTCCTTCGGGTTTTTCCAGTAGCACCAACTGATAATTCTTCATACTACATTTGTGTTCTTTGTTCCACTTATCCCCACACTTAAAACAGAGACCCCGTCTACTCCTGTCCTGCAGTTCTGCCTGAGATAGCCTTTGACCACCTTGCCCTGTCTTAGTTATTTTGACTCCCTCTACCCCTTTGAATTTAGCATCAATTTTCTGATCTGGTGGGTCTCGTGTGATTTGACTTTTGTTTTTGATTTCGTCATTCCAGGGTATATACCTGGAAGTGGTTCCCCCACGTTCTTTCCATCCCCGTTTATCTTCCTCCTTGAAACTTCTTACCCCGAGAACTGTATTTTTCTTTTCCAGGAGAAGTGCTACATCCATGAACCTTGTCAAACATTGAGTTGGATGCAATTTAATTTCGGCTTGGATTTCCTCCTTCAGGCCATTCATGAAAATACCCTTAAGCATCTCATTGTTAGTGTTCCTGTGGGGAGCTACTACCCGTTCAAATTTCTCCCTGTACTCCATCACTGACCCGGTCTGCTTTACACTAAGCATGGGTCCATATGGGGTTTGAACCATCTCTGGTTGAAACCGGCGAATAATTGCGTCTTGGAAGTTTTCCCAAGTACGATCCGTAGTCCGTTCCTCCCACCATTGAAACCAATTTAAAGCTTTGTCCTCCATAGCGACCACCACCATTTCTATTTTCTCATTGTCATTAACTTGATTCAACCGGAAAAATATCTCGACCTTAATTATCCACCCATGTGCATCCTCCCCATTAAAAACAGGGAAATCAACCTTCCGGCCCGTGCGAGCATAGCATCGGTTGACAGCAATTTCCGGACTATGGGATGAAGCGTGAGAGTTGTTAGACTTACTAGAGGTATGCGACGAGTTCACACTTGCGTCCCGACTATGAGGCTTAGACCCCCGCGACCGTTCTCTTCTCCTGTGGCGGTCATTCTGTAACATCATATTCTTCAATTCGGTCACTGTCTCTCGCAAGCCCAGCAATTCATTCACGGCCGTTCTCACTTCCGCTAGGGTGTTTTCCAGGTTCTCCACGCGTTGCTCCATTCTTGATCGGGTCAAGACCATGCGCAGGTAAGGATGGCAATGGGGGCGGGGGGCCCGTGGGGAACCGCCCCGTGGGGGGGAGTTGGGGCGGGTGGTGGGGTGGGGCGGGTGGTGGGGTGGGGGAGATATTTTCTCCCCGCAAAAATATGGGGCGGGTGATGGGTTATGCACCCCCCGCACCGTCCCCGCCCCGTCCCCCGTAATAATTAATAATAATAATCTCAATAATAATACTAATAATAATAGTAATACTAATATGAAGTAATTAAAATAGCATGGTGGTCCGGTGGGTTTAGTGGTTTCCTATCTAATGGATTGTGCGTAATGGATCTATCTAATTCTTGTTTAATAACTAAGCTATCTTGTAAAATTGCTTATCAAAATCATAAAGTAAAATGATTTTTTTAGAGATAAAATAAAATTAATTTGGGAAAGTTATAAAGTGATATTAGCTTAAACGCCTCAGGCACGGTGCGAAAGTTTTTTTCCTTTACTATTATAATGCATTAATTCTTTTCTTTTGAATGTCATCTTTATGATTGTAGTTAGGGCTCTTACAATTTGGTGATCATATGTCGTCCTAGATGACGTCAAATGACCATGATTGATTGAATGCAGAGTTTAAGAAAATATTATAGAGCTAATCAATGTTAATTTAGAGTTTGATAAAAATTACTAATTTAGAACGCGTATAATGTGTTCTAGATTTGAAATGGGATGTAAGATTACATTGACACTTGAAAAGTAAAAAAAATGGCTACTAGAAGTGTTGTTAAATTTTTGAAAAATTGTCAGTCTAAAATGATGTTAATTTTTGACGAGTACTTCCCCGTTGGGTACCCGTGGGTCTAGCGGGTCGGGGCGGGGGATGGGGCGGGTCGGGGCGGGGGATGGGGCGGGTCGGGGCGGGGGATGGGGCGGGTCGAATAGTAGTGGGGGATGGGGCGGGGGTGGGGGCAATTTTTTAGACACGGGGCGGGGGATGGGGGAGTGAACCCCCGCCCCAACCCCGCCCCATTGCCATCCCTATGCGCAGGTATGGCTATCGTCACTTCTCTGATACCAATGATAGAGTACAAAACCCAACCAGAAAACTTTATTGAGAATATGTTTAACTTTATTGAGAAAACTTAAGAACAGAGTCTGGGAACAAAAACGATAAAGGAATGAGATAACAGAAAGTAAGGATGAGATCTTTCGAGAGGATCTCGCTCTCCCAGTTCCGACTGAAATTCCCGGTCCCCTTCTCCTTCAGCTTCCATTTGCATTTATTCGTTTCTTTACTCTCGACTGACTATTCCCCTTCCCCTAGTCCGTTATTTTCTGCCTCCGTTTCCTTTCTCTGCTTATTTACCTTCTTGCCCCTCCTTTTATAAATTTGTGAAAAATCCCTATTAGGATTTATGTTAAATAAGGTAGTGCTCGTATCAAACTCTATCGTCCTCCCTACACTAGTACAAACACTTATAGTACAAACCTCATATATATCCATGATGACGTTGATATATTTACATGATATTCTTTTTCTAGTTAAGGCCCACCAAAGGATTTCACCAAAAGACTTCCCCAGTTACCCTATCAGCCTATCATACGAATTTTCAAAGTCAATGAACATCAAATGCACATCCTTATTAGTGTCTTTATACTTTTGCACAAGTTGTTTAAGAAGGTGAGTGACCTTAATTGTTGATTGACCAAGTATAAATCAAATTGATTCTCTGAAATCTTCAAACTTCTTTGAAAAGTTTGCTCAATCACTTGCTCCCAAAATGCGTACTAATGTGACCAAAAATATAAAGTCAATTATGTTGACTCTTTACAAACAAAGTGTTGGACTGGATCATGTGCGAGTAAAAAATGATCCATTTAGGCAGTTTTTGTGTCATTGAAAAGCTAAATTGAAGTTGTAAAACACTGAAGCAAACTTCTTTATTCGACAAGCTGTAGAGTTGGAACGACATCTAGTTCCACATTCGTTCATATGTAAGTATAGGATATAGGATTATGCATGTGAGCCCTTTTTTATACCATTGAAAAGATAAATCGAAGTTCTACAACTTTTATGAAGACGATAACATAAAATAGTGAATTAGTGACTGACAATGATCCATAAGAAATCTAAATTACCTGAAATTCAAAAACTCGAGAACCACTACAGTAGCTGCACCTTCGGATGTCACTCTCTGACGGCTGGCCACTCGACATCGGCCACAAGGGTTTGGCTTTAGGGTACCTACAGTACCTGTTTATAAGGCAATCAATCAAATACATTAAAATATTAAACTGGTTTGCATATAAAAGCCGGGGAAGGAGTAACACAGTTCTTGAACAATTAGATTAACCAGGTATAAAGAATTGAATTGGAGGTGCCCTCAGTGGAACGTTGGTAAGAACATTGTTGAAGTGATGTCTCACATGAGCTAAATATAAAATAATAAACTAACATATAAGATATGGGTCACTCCTCCTATTAGTTTGACTTTTTAGATTGAAACCTTAGGTCTTCATAAACATTATAAGAACTAAAAGAGCCTTGTACCTCAATACTTGCTCAGGGGCACACGATATCCTCTCCTGGAAAGATGCCCAACTTTTCTTGTCCTCGTCCCCCTGAAACAAATGTCACATATCACAAATGACATACTTTTATAAAAAATATTTCATTATCAATAGTGTGACTTATAATGGCTACCTCAAAGGCGTCTAGCAGTGAATTGAATGTTTCATCTGATTGGCTGGTAGAAACTAGAGATGTAGAATGAGGGTGATCATTAGATATCTCAAAACATTCATCCTCACTTGAGATCTCATACTCTGGCCACAAAGATTTACTCGCCACTGCATGCACATTAAGTTCATTCAAGTGTTACGATGAAGCATCAGTATAATTCCAAATTGATGTCTCTATCAATGCAATATTATTATTTCATTGTAATTAAATCAACAAAAAACACTTATACAGTTATTATACTCATGTACTCTTGGTATCAACTGTAATGGAACAACAAAAAATGTTCACTCAGCCACTCAGGATTATGGGAAGTAAGATCGCAGGATCTCACAGCTAGGGCAAAATTAAAGAAGGCAACCATTCACAACACTACACCCAATTATAAAACTAGTTTGCCAGACTAGCATGAAGAAGAATGCCTGCAAAAAAAGTGTTTAATAGTTATGATCTGTTCATTTGAATTTATTCCAGTCTCAGAGTGGACCATAGCATACTTTGAACATATAAGGACGTCGATATCAGACTAGACTAGACACTTAAGCAATAATAAAATCTGCATAATATCAGAATACTTCAAAAAAAGACCAGATCAGAATTGAACACACCAGTCCAAAAACCATCGAAGTTCACTCCCATTGAATTTCAGTGCACATCAGCACATGAACAATTCCTTAATGCTCTAAACTCTAAAGGCTTAATATGTTTTTTTGTTGCAAATATAGTGTTTGTTTCATTTAATGCCCCTGTAGATTTTATTTTTTAGTTCTTCTTCCCTGTAATTAGCACTGTTTCTTTTTAGTTCCTCTCTGACTCTCTAAGGACCCCTCTTTAACAACAAAACATGCATGACCACATGAGTTATATCTTTTGTTCATGCCATTTCATTTTTAAAATATACTTATATTTTGTTTGCTGATAGCCTATATTAAAAACGTATATTGTCGGTTTCACGTAGCCTTGATTCCACTAATAATCTGCAAAAAGTGATAAAGAGTTGAAGTCTAAGAGGAGTTATGCGAGTGACATTAATTTTGCCCAAAATAATTAGTGTCCATGGGTTGTTAGGTAGAGACTACAATGAAAATATCATGTCTTGCAGGGATGAAAAACAAATCAAAAAATATATTGGAAGGACTTAAAACATATTTAAGCCTACTCTAAACTAGTCATTCTTAGTATCAACGATTATTACCTTTTGGCAAATTTGCAACTATGCAGCTGGATTCACTCAGTGAAATGTTTGAGAGACATTGCTTCTTATGTCCAGACCGCCAATGAACAGCCTGAAATTAAAGCGGGGAAGTTAGAACTCAATTATTTATTATTATAACCTCAAAGAAAAACACCCCACCTCAAAACACACACCATCCCACTCTACTCCCAAATGAAACAAACAAAGAAAAGGAACAACAAAAAAACATATAATATCAGTCTACCTGGTGTTTCTCAGAACAGTAACGCACTGTTTTGCAACCACTACAAACTTTATCTCCTCTCCAGGTACCACACCAACTACAAAGCAGAGCTGCAACCCAAAATTGCAGAGAGAAAAAATTCAATAAAAATCAACAAAGACATGACATTTATAGGATGCACCATTCTTAAGGAGATGAAACAGTTTAAATTTCCATGCATTATAACAATAGGATGTAAATAGCCGATTGAATGAAATTAGATGACTATATGGAAGCCTGAAAAAGCACAGAAGCCTGATAACCATCAGCATTGATTTACAGGATCTGCTAATGCAGTTGTTGGTCAAGATAAACATTAATCACCTCCATCTCCAGAGGGTCTAGCTGTCCCATCTTTTTCTGGAGGCTCACTTGAATAAAATGAGTTGAGCCGAGGCATTTGACAGCGAAACGCCTTGACACTTGTTCATCATAAGTGATCAGAGTTAGAAACGAGAACCAGAATAATCAATATAGAAGCATCAAACTGCAGAAGCATTAAAGATACCTCCGTAATGCCGGTTCTGGGTGCCGTTTCCACTGTTGATGTTGATCTTGAAGAAGACAAGCCATTGATTGGCACATAAAGACAAACAGTGTACGATGAAATGTTGAGTCAGTCTCAGTTAGTGGTGCATAAACCTGCATAGTGAAGTTACTAAGTTATTAAATGATAACTAAAGAAGAAAATATCTGAAACAGTACAGATATTGGCAATTTAATATAACAGAAACAGAAATGCAAATAACTCCATAATATCGGTATAGAAATGACAAATATCTTCTTCTTCTTCTTACCCTAGTGCCGCAAAGGCTTCCACCTATGGTGGGGTGAGGGGGGTCATATGTACGCAGTCTTACCTCTATACTAAAGCACAGAGAGATTGTCTGTTTCCTGATGACCCGTAATGAAATTAGATATTTAAAGTTTGAGATTACCAAATAGATGATAAGCTATATAAGTAGTCAGTACTGAACTACTGCAACAGTAATTGGTCAGGATTTACACTTCACAAGTCATCACAAACAGTCTAAGTGTCTTACAGATCCATTAACCGGAGACTCTCTTTGGCAAAATTGAATTTTCAACGAGATTTAACAGTTAAACTATTAGTTGATGCTAATGAGTAAAAACTTGTGGACCGTTGACTTATATTTTGGCCAAAAACATAGTGCATCTTACAGGAATCTCATCTGAGGCACCTGATATGAATCATATTATACAGAGTATTTAATTAATTATGCTTATAAAAAAGAACCAAAAAGCAAGTAGTTCATATGAAATATAAAGGTTCAAGTATCTGTCTTAAGGAAAGAAAGAAACGTCAGGTCACAGAAGAGTAACTTTATATACCTGAAGCATGAATTGTAAAGGCTCACCACAGAAGTCACAGACACAATACCTCCCTGAAGGCAAGTTAACTGGGTCCAGCCAAGCCTGTTATCAGAAAAATCCCAAATCAATACTCGACAAATACTCTCTTTAAAAAATTATACATCATGGTTGTGTATAAAACATACAGGGGTACCCCCAGCTTTGCTTGGGAAGAACTGTCGGAGGAGAGACCATGAATTCTTCTTCTTCTCCACAAAGCCTAATGCTACAGGAACTTTTTCCTCATCATCCTCATCGTCATATGAATCAGCATGTCCATCGTCACTAAGTTCATCTTCATCAATAGATAACAAATGCAAACTTCTAAGTTTTTCGTCAGCATCTCCACTGGTTCTACCATTCAAATCTTCTGCCATTTTTTATATACTAAGTCCTATAGAACAGCGTTCAATACAAAACCTAAATTACTTGTACTAATTCCAAAAGCCCAAATAAAAGTATGGAATTGTTATAAATATTTCACACACCAGAAAGCATAATGCATAAACAGCTATAAATATTTCAACTATCAATGCATGCACAGATACAATTATGAATAAAGTTATTGATTATAGATATCAAACCAATAGCACTCTCTGTCATCACTAATTAGCAATTTTTAGGAAAAAAACAAGTAAATACTGAAATACCAATGTTCAGGAATTCAGGCATATAAAACAAAGAAGCGGGTAAATACAATTGGGAACCGGGAATGCTTGCTACCCCCACAAAACATAAAGGAATGAACAACGGAAACTCTCTAACCTTACGTGTCACGTGATTCTTTTGGGCTACAGGAATGTGAGCGGTCAGGTGTGGACTCCTGATCCTTGAAGGTGACATGCAAAAAAGACAAAAACCATTATATTCCACATTAATATGTCAAAGACGAACAAAAAACACACTTATGCCCAGAATTCAGCCTACAGAACCAAGGGTGATGTGAATTTTAAAGAGCAATTCATGTTCAACTCACAAAATTTCAAAATAACTAAGAGTTTTTAAAATGACTGATTTGAAATGCACCACCCCCTTACTTGCAGCTCTCATATTTGAAGTTCATTCCAAAATGGAGCAAGTTCATCAAGGGTCTGAAAGAAGTTAAAGAACTACTCTTGTGACATTTTCAGAGAGTAATATAATAAAACACAAGCATATTGAAAACCAGTTAGACTACTCTTAAAAGACTAGGAGCCCGTTTGACGACCTTGTTTTCCGGCTTATCAGTCAACTTTCTCAATAAACACGTAACTTTTGAGTTCGCGCTGCAAAGTTGTGTAACAATCAAAATAAGTAAGGTTGGAGTTACTTTTCGGGCTGGATTGGCTGAAGATACTATAGAAGACCATTTTAGATAATTTTCATATTTTTTTCTTTATTTTATAAAATATATTTTGAAAATAAATTTTTCATAATTTAGCATAATCAACCTATTTAGCCACTTTGGCCGAAACTTCATAATTTCAACAGATGCAGCTGATTTAACCAATTTCAATGTTACCATATTCACCAAACAAGCTCTAAGAAAGTATCGACACTTATAGACAAATAAGACACAAACATTATTGAAATAAAATGTATGACTGTATGTATTAAAAAACCAAAGAACTGCTTAAACACCCACTCAAACCCCTAAATTTAAACTTTTCTAGAACAACCGAACTTTATTTGTTCAGATTCTTGAGATTAAATTTACTAAAATGAAACAGAAAACCAGCTTAATAATCTTAATCCTTTAATTTCCAACACACAACATAATTAGATGAACTTGAATTTAAAGGGATTATGAAAGCCATAAAATGTGATTTTCACTTTTCATGTAGTTTAGAAAATCAATAATATTAGGTACAACCGTACAACTAGTTTTTAGTTCATTATACAAGCTAAATAAATTATACAGCGTACATAGTATATTGTAACTTCAAAAAATTCAAGGCAAACAACTGAAAACTTAGACTGGGACCGAACGGTCCATAAAGAAACCGTCAAATTTTGCTTCATGTTAGCATTTAAATATATATGTGGCAACATAAACACAAATTAAGAGTATAACACATAAAAACATAAAAAAAACTGCTAAAACATATTGATGAAAAATAACATGAAGGATGTCTTCCACCAAAAAGGACACATCTTTGTGGAATGATGAGGTGAAACAAGTCATAAGGAACAACAGGGATTGCTACAAAAGTTGAGAACATGTTGGAGTGATGAGAATATAGTAGCATACAAAGAGGCTAGAAGACAAGCAAATTAAATCCGTAAGGAAAGCACGAGAGAAAGTGAACAAGGAGTTGTATGAAAATTTGGACTCTAAAGAAGGAGAAAAAGATATTTATAGACTTGCTCTCCTTCGTGATCGTAGGACTCAAGATATCGGAAAAGTTAAGTGTGTGAAGAATGTTGATCAAAAGATACTAATGGAGAACAGAGAAATGAAAGAGAGGTAGAGGTCATACTTTGAAACATTATTTAAAGGGAATAAAGTGAAAGATATTGGTAATTTGACTCAAGGTAGTCAAAGTCATGAGGCGCACTCAAGGCGCTAGAGTATTTATATCACCTGAGGCACAAGGCGCAAAAAAAGCGCTCGCGTGACTCATGTCAAGCGCACTATTTAGAAATTTTATGTATATTATACTAAAGTGATCGAACATGACATATTCAACATCATGTCATACTTGTCACGGCGGCGGTAAGGCGAGCTGCGGCGCCAGCCAACCACCATATCGCCTAAGCGATAAGGCGCCCGCGCCCGCCTAGGCGACAATTAGGTGACTAGTCGCACATTGTCTAATACATAGTATATTATACTCCCTTCGTATCAAATTAATTGACCCGTTTGCTTTTCACGCAGTTTAAGACAATTACTGTAAACTTTATTAAAAGTAAGAGGTTTTTGGTACTGTAGCGACACTGTAGCGGTACTGTAGCAGTACTGTAGCTGCTTTTTGAGTGGGATTCTTTCCAAAAAGGGAAAGGGGTCAATTAAATTGATACACCAAAAAAGGAAAGTGGGTCAAGTAATTTGATACGGAGGGAGTATATAATTGAGTAACTAACTATATTTAATTTTTAATTTATTATGTATTATATATAATATATTACTAATTAAATTGTAAATTACCTAGAACTTAAAAAACAAATCCACAAATTCACAAAATAATACAATATACCGTAGTATAACAAATAAAACACAATAACACAATCACTTCAGGCCATCTTTGTTAATCAAATATTCAAATAGATTTACAAAGGTTCTCAAAATAATACTCGTACAATTTTTAGCAAATTATATAATGTTTAATCAAGAAAAAATAGTCTAAAATAGTATTAGAATTTAGAGAATACCTGGAGCTGGAGGCAGCCGGCAGCCGCAGAAGAGAGAATCGGACTGGTTTACTCGGAGAGCCAGAGATGGAAGACCGCTGACGCAGGGCCCTGGAACGTGGACGGAGGGAGGCGGCGGAGCTGATGGCCGTAGGTTGGCTGGTTTCGTGTCTCCACCGCAGCTCCGGTACCCCTCTTCGACCTTGCTTCGCAGTTCACACAACAAGGCTGCAGGTTTGCTTGAGTGGAATAGTCTGGTATGAGGTTTGGGCTGGGATTAATTTTCGGATCTGCTGGACCTTTACGGCCTGTTTGGATGGAGTGTCCCAGAGGTATTAGTAACGAAAGTGTTAGTAAATGGTGACAGAGGTTCAGAAAGGAATGTAAGTGTAAGTGTTAAGCATAATCTTACCTTGTTTGGGAGAGTTAAAAAATGAAGTGTTACTAATGGAAGTGTTTTCACTTAAATTGAGAAAAATATTCTTATGTCTTTTTTTTAATAAACCATATCCTCATGTCTTTAGACTACACTCTAGGAACATTTAGGAAGATAAAACAAATACACACGGAAGAACGAAAAATATATTTACTGCTCTACCGAAAAGAATATAATTAAAAAATATACCAAAAAATTGGGTTATTACAAGAGTAAAATAAAAAAAAAATTAAAGATTGTGATGAGTAGTCGTATACGTATTCGTGTGTACGTATCCCAAAAATGAGTAATTATGAGTTATGCCTAGAAATTGGAAATAATTCTAAAATAATCCAGCTTTAGAATTTGATACCAGATTATTTTATCAAATAATCTCATAAAATAATCTCAACTCTACATCCATGATCCTCAAAAAAATCTTTCACATCATCAAAATGATCCCCAAAATAATCCATGGATGTGGATGCCCTAAACAGGCTAATTTGAAGACATACGGATTTACAATTATATCCTCCATTTGGGCGGCAATTTTGCCTCCAAAAGTTGTAGACACTCTACTACTTTATATAATATAAAGATTTGGTTTGCTATTCTGCTACAGAGCACTGAGCCGCCATATATTTCCACATCCATGGGCATCTCAAGATTCATATATATACATATGATAAATGGTGGACGAATCCCGCTAGGCACACAAGATTCAAGCACTCCAGCCTATTGATACAGAATTTTTGAGAAGTAATCAAGATAAAAAGAACCTTTCAATGTAAGGGCATCGCGAGAGAAATACGCGTTGTCGGTGTTCTCCATGACCTTGACTCTGGAGAGTGATTATGGTTGCTACTACTTGTTTACTCATAAAGAGTTGGGATGTTCGTGTCTCCACGACCTTGACTGTGGATGTTGGTGTCTTCACGACCTTGACTGTGGATGTTGGCGGTAAAATTCGGGCAAAAGACCCTGTTATTCAGTAGTAGCAGTAACCTAGTCACTTCTATAGGGTAATCCCTTTTTGGTGGAGTAGGGGGACGTTGACGTCCGAACTACTTGGGCTTTTTACTACCCGCAAGACTTGGAATCCCTTTCACGGGGTGTGCATACTTAAGGTAGAGGTTCAGTTTCCTCAAGTTAGAAGTGGTACCGACAAAAGTCCCGGGGTGGCCGTATATAACAACGGACCATCCGGCTCAATTGATCTTGAGCACCACCCTTCGAATGTACTAGGGAGTTTAGTTACAAATGAGGTTTTGAGGAGAATTATATTTGATTGATTGAGTTTGGATGATTGGATTATATTTGAATTTAATTGGACTTGGATTCCATTGGTTTTGAGTTGATTTAGATTATTTGATTGGACTTGATTGAGGTGAATGAAATTACATTAGATTGGATTATTTGAGTGAGTTATAATTGTTTGGATTGGATTGAATTTGATGTGGTTGAGATTATTAAATTATTTGTAGATTTCCAAATTATTACTTTTGGATTTGATATGATATGATTATGTTGAATATTGATTGAGTATTTGGAAGTATTTTGAGATGAATATTTGGATTTTACATATGATTTATGTTTTGGAATATATTTACGAGAATTTTGGAGGTTTATGTATATTGACATTTTAGAATTATTTTGATTTGAAAATATGTACCTATATTTGGAATATTATTATTATTTTACATGTGATTTTGTGATGAGAAGTTTGTATAAAGTGTTTATAAGGTTTCCTCCCAATATTTTCACAAAATGATATATATGTATCAAACATGATTATTTTATAGGGTTGGGTGAGCCTTACTTAGCATTTCCAGCTAATTTTAGCTTCTTTGTGTTTTCCTTTCTATACTTTATTTGTGCAGGAATTGAGGATCATGTTGAAGTTGATTTCGAGAGCTTCCACTAGAACACATAGACTAAAGTGATTGAGTAATTTATTTTAGTCTTAATTTTAAAGAATTGTAGTTGAACAATTAAATATGGAAACTTTTAATTTGTTGGTGGTGGATAGCCTATGCAATCGGTTAAATGAGAACACAGTGTGGCGGTAACGCCCCAGTTTCCCTTTGAATTTTCCACTTCAATACTCTCATGTATTCAAATGAATCATTATTTAAATGTTATTTTGGGTGTGAATTTTGGGGGTGTTACACCACCCAATCCTTCTAAAGAAAATTGTCAATCCCAAGAGTCATACCCGTATAATTTCAAGACTAGGGAGGTGTTTACTTCACTGCTAAAGTCACAGTTAGGTTAGTAAGACAAGTGAAGTAAACACGCACGCTGCTTAAAAAGCCGCTTACTAACCGAAATAGGTGTTTAAAGTGCCACTTATTAAGCATATCACCCCCTATATATATTAATTAAGCGGCACTTTAAGAATTTTTACTTTCCGAATTTACCCTTTGCCCTTACCCTATTGTTACCCCTGCCCCACCCACCTACCCGGCCCCACCTCGACCCTGACCCCACCTACCCTACCTCGACCCCACCCTACCCCTACCCTACACCCTATCCTACGCTGACCTCACCCTACCTCACCCCCGACCCCATCCTACCCCTACCCTACCCCACCTACAACACCCTATCTTACCCCGACCCACCCTACCCCACGCCGCCCCCACCCTACCACTACCCCACCTACCCCACCCTACCTACCCGACCCCACTTACCCTACCCAACCTGCCCTTACCTCACCTACCCAACCCCAACACCCTACCCCCTACCACATTGGTCCCACCCCGACCCTACCCCCCTTACCCTTACCCCTAGGGCCCTTACCACCCTACCCCAACACTTATCCCTTACCACACCGGTAAGGGAAGGGATTGTGGGTAGCTAGGGTGGGGGTCGAGGTTGGGGTAAGGTGGGGTAGGGTAGGGGTAAGGGTGTAGGGGGTTAGCGGGTGGGGTGGGGTGATCTCGGGGTATGGGTAAGGTAGGGTAGGGGTAGGAGTATGGTAGGATATGGGTGGGGGAGACCTAGGGGGTGGGGTAGGGTGGTAAGGGCCTACGGGTAGGGGTAAGGGGCCTAGGGGGGGGTGGGGTCAGGGTATGGGGCAGGGGGTCGGGATAAGGTAGGGTAAGGTGAGGTCGGGGTAGGGCCGATGTGGTAGGGGTTAGGGGCAGGGTAGGGGCCTGGGTGGTCGGGGTCGGGGTAGGGTCGCGGACTCACGGTAGGGTGGGGATGGGTAGGGTGGGGTAAGTTTAGGGTGAGGTCGGGTAGGTAGAGTAGTGGTAGGGTGGGGTCGGGTAGGTAGGGTCAGGGTAGGGTGGGTAGGTAGGGTCGGGGTAAGGTAGGGTGGGTAAGGGGTTAGGGGGTATGAGTACACATATTATATTATATACTTGTGTTCATGAATGTTTGTGTGTATATATATGTATAAGGTTATTTTGGACATTTTAATGTTAAGCGGTGTTTTAAACCGTTTGAAGTAAACACGATCTTACAACATTGTTTATTTTATGCGCCGCTTATTAACACGGGTCTTAATAAACACCGTTTAATACCCGGTGAAGTAAACATGTCCTAGGTCAGTTTTGCGTACCTAGGCAGTCCAGTATCACATTCCTTTTTTTTTTTTTTTGGAAAAAGGGTCAGATAGACCATTCAGGGAGTGTTTGCAATTGCTTCAACTTTAAAAAAGTGATTTTTTAAAGTGATTTTTGGAAAAGTGATTAATAGTAAAAGTTGGTAGTGTTTGAGAAAAAAGTGATTCTGGAAAAGTAAAAGTTGGTAGTGTTTGGTAAAATAAGTACTTTTTGTGTAATAGAAAAAGTGAGAAGCAGTTTAAAGCACCCTTCTACCTGCTTCCAGCTTTTAGCTTTTAAGTGATTAATTTAAGCAGAAGCTGTCATTTGAAAACACTCTTTTCAACTTTTTTTAAGCCAAAAGCTGAAAAGCGCTTTTTTTAAGCAAACCCAAACACTCTTTCAACCATCACTAATATGCTGCATGGGGCGGAGATAGAGAAGTTCTTTGCATTCACAAAAGAGTACGAGCATAAGAGATTCCTAGAAAAGGTTATAACTGTGATGCAGTGAAGGATGCGCTTCTAGAAGGCAGTGTTGGACTCGATGCGGCCACCCGACCCGAGAACCGGCCCGGCACAACACTATTTGGGCCCGACCCGGGAACCGGATACTGGTTCCGGGTCTAGGTCCGGTTTAAGGATGAAAACAAGGCCAGTTCCGGGATTGCTTAAATGTGAACCGGCCTAGTTCGGCCCCGGTTCGGGCCTGTTTTATATATTTTTTTGGTTTGGGCTGGGTTTAAATAGACTGGGCTAGGTGTTTCCGATGGGTTTGGGGGAAGGGGGGTAGGGGATAGGGGATGAAACGATCAAGAAAAAAATATAATCAGGCCCGGACCGGCATCGGTCAACACCCGGACCAGCACCGGTCAACACCCGGACCGGTCCCGGGCTTCACTGATTCTTTTTTTGGTCCAGCCGGCCCTAGGCCCGACCCAGGCCCTGACCAGACCCAGTCCAAGACTACGAGAAGGTCATTACTCATTACCAAAGGTTTCATCTCAATAATTCTTAGCTTAGTTGATTGACGACACAGATGTAGCTTGATTAGAGGAGATCCGGAAATTTCTGCTTATTCTGTTTAGGCGCTTAGTAGATTGACGACACAGATGTAGGCTTGATTAGAGGAGATCCGGAAATTTCTGCTTCTTCCGTTTAGGCATGCAATTGCTAGCTTTTTAGTGAGTCATATTTGTTCAGTTCTTTCATTCATGCACCTAGCTACTCCATCACAATTCACACTGATTTTGTCTATTTTTATTAATATACAAAGTATTTATCATCCCTTAAAACTTTGCCAAAGTTGACCGGTACGGAGAATAATAAAGTAAAAACTTAGATGGTTCAGGTTTGTGCAGAGAAGAGAAATAACAGAAACCGCAAAATATTGATTAAAAAAGAAAGTGGCAAAGCTTTTTGGGACTTCCAAAAAAGGAAAGATGACAAAGTTTTAAAGGATGGAATCACGGAATAGCCGAATAGGCTTGGACTTTGGCTGGGTGGCCCGACCCGGAACCAGACCGAACCGGCCCGATTGCCCGGTCAGTGACCGGTTCGGGTAGGCCCAACCCGCAGGTGTTCCGGTCCAGGCTCGGGTCCCCAAAATCCTGAACCGGCCCGACCCGCAGGTGGTTCGAGCCCGGGTCCAGGCCTCTTATTAATTTTTTTACTTTTCGGGTTGGACTGGTTATTTTGGGCCATTTGGGGTGGTGAATTGGTTAGGGGGTGGTTGGAGGTGAGGGGGTGGTTGGAGGTGAGGGGGTGGTTTGGAACAACGGAAAGCCCAAAAGAAATTAAATAAAAGAAAACGATAAAGTATAACCTGCTATAACAGGTTAATTTCCACTAATTTGACTCGATTGATTCTTTTTAAGAGCATCTCCAATACTATAATGTCCACGTTGCATATGTGGCATGAGTGATAACCACATAAATATTAGCAAATAAATTATTTCTCTCCTTATTTGAATGATTTTATACAATTTTGGTAAGTTTTTCCCTGCAATGTCAACATATAGACGGTCTCCTTGACAGTGTGGAGAAAAACTTACCAAAACTGTATAAAATCATTCAAATAAGGAGAGAAAGAATTTATTTACTAATATTTATGTTGCTATTTCTCATGCCACGTGTGCACCGTGCACATTTTACCATTGGAGATGCTCTAAGAGTTGATGAACTTATGTGATTGTTTTCAGTAGATGATGTTGAGTAATGTTTTATAATTGTAGAAGGGTCTATAAGACCTTTTTTCCTTTTTTTAATGTTTTGCCCGGTTCCAACTTCCAAGCATATAAAAATATACCACCAGGTCCGCAAATTGTTGAACCAGAACTTGGTACCCAACTACCCCATACACCCAGTAGGATACCCAGTCTTTGCCCAAAATCGGAAAAATGGACCCGATCCGGTCCCACAAAGTACCAGATCTGGTTCTAGACCAGGTCCATGCCTAGTGCCAAGCACCACTCACTTTATAATTCCATCTAGTCAATTTAGTATATTCTGTGGTGCTATAGATGACGTTATGTTGATCCTACAACTTCATAAATAAAAATGTTGCCCTTTCTGTAGCTTGAAATGTGAACGCAGAACGCTCCAGAAGTCTAGAAAATCCAAAATAACCAAGCAAAACATCTTTAATCTGTAATGAAAAAATCTAGTTTTCTGCTCTAAACTAAGAGGGTTTGAAGATGAATGTCTTGTGTCCATTTGCATTACCTGGCAACTCTGTAGCTCTGGAAAAAGAAAATCACTAAACTTATATTCCACAGTAATGTTTAATTTAGAAAAATTCAGTGATCCAAATTGAGAACACATACCTTAACCCTCTTAAGAAGTTCCTTTGCCTTGACATCATTCTTGAAATGATCACGCACAGGCTGTGCATAGCACATGAAACATGGTTTAGAAAATATATATTCCTAAATGTAGGCCTGTTGTTTTCTCACTTCTAAAAAAAACTAAACCAAATTCTCACAAGGCACCTAACTTGGACTCCATCTTCCAAGTACACATCAAATGTTCGAAAAGATGCTAAGAATGTAACCTTATGTTTGGATCTGGGAAACTGCTAGGGAAAGGAAAGGAAATGCTAAAGCATGTTATTTCTGTATGCTAGGATTACCTCAGGAAAAGCAGAGGAAGATATTACAACTCCATAAAGGTGACTATTTATATACGGATAAAAAGGTAGCTCACAAGGTAATAAAATTGCAAAACTATACGAGCCAGTACCATTCATATAGTGCCGATGTTACTGCCACTACCACTACTACCACTGTTGGGTACACCACTGATGTCACTGCCACCGTCGAACACATCAGTGCGACTAAGGGAACAAATTCCAATGACTTTTATGACGATTTGTCAGAACGTTTTCGGCAAACTGTCGGCGTAGCTAGCGGCGGTTTCACAAACTTGCCCCAACAACTTTTTCAAGTGATTTAAAAAAAATGACAGGAACCGGCCAGATTAGTGCTAATAATAAAAATAATACTACCTCTGTCCCATATTGGTTGTCTGTATTTTGGCGCGATTATTAATAAAGTGGTTGAAAGTAAAAGTTGTGGTTGACATTTGAGTAGAATAGATGAAGCTATTATGTTGAGCTATTAATACCACTCACTTATTTTGTTGGTGAAGCTATAATGAATGAAACAGCTCAACATTTTATAAACAAGTCAATAGATGGTATTACAGATATGCAAATCAGTTACAAGTTAGTTTCAGAGAAAAAGATCTTGTTAGCTAATGAAATTGTTCTATCTGATGGTTCCTCACAAGTACTTACAAAAGATAATTTTCCTGAGACCACTACAGATGATGAGGTAATAAGATTTGTTTTTTGCGAGGAGGCAGTAAGATATTGTGAAGGCTTTGTGAAAAAGTCAGCAAATTCCTCGTTTGCTGAGTGTGCAGTTGAGCCCACTCTTGAGGTGCTGAAAGTTCACGTTACATCATCTGTTCATGCTGCCAAACTCCTTGTTCAACTACCCCCTTTTCGTGGAGAAACTGTGTCCATGGTGGGGTTGAACAAGTGCCAGCTGACAACATCCAGGATGTCAATTGTCTTCAACTACCCGCTTCTCGTGGAGACACTGTGTCCATGGTGGGGTTGAACAAGTGCCAGCTGACAACATCCAGGACGTCAATTGTCACTAATGTTAGTGTTTCTTTGACTATTCTGTTGTGTGGTTGTCCATGTAAGCAACACACATGGAAGTTTTAAAGCAACCTGAAGGATTAACCCTCCAAGGTGATGACTGCACTGAGATTCAGGAATTACTTAGATGGCGTGAAAATCATAAGGTGAAGAACATGAAGATGATGGATCAAGTATCGAAGCTAAAGGTCCAAAAAGCAGTGATGTAGAGGACAAGGAGGTTGTTCAAGGGGGGAGATGTGATAGGGACCTGAATAGCCAATAATAGTATGAATAATACAATGATATTATATAAGTACGAAGAGGGTTTTGGACCAGGTACTAGTTAGCTTTGGGCTGGCCCATGATGGAAATTTTATAAATAAGAGTATGGAGTAGAATAAAGGTGGGCAGAAATTAGTTGTAATTGATAGTTGTAATTAGAATGAGGCCTCTCAAAAAGCCTCGTCTGTCTTTTCTTCCCGTTTCTGTACTCCTTACTAATATACATTAAATTACAGTTACGAATTTGTAGTTTCCATCAGGGGCTATAAAAAAATACATGGGGCAGCTTCAATCAGTTTTGTGGATGTTAGAGGGACAATAAAATATAATAAACTTGATGAGCTTTGGAAGTTAGTCGCATTTTTTTAAAGCAAAACTAGTTACATTTATGTCATTAAAAAGGGTAGAAGTCATACTCCTCCATGTCTTGAACAAATATTATACGTGAGTATATATTTATTGAGTTTGAAATAATATTTCAAGTTTTTAACACTTTCTTCCCTTCCAAAAATATCTAATATTTTCCTAGCCATTTCTTTCCCAAATATTTCCAAACAGTGGTGAAAAACGTGTGTACCTGCAGTATCTTGTTCAGAGCTTTTGAGAGAGCAGGTTTAAGGTCAGCAGGATGCAAGCTACCACATTCATAGTCAGTAATAAGTTCTTCGAAAGTCGAGAAGGTCCTGCACGTTAATAATAATAAGTTAATAACAAGTGATGCGATGGAGAACGGGTGATAACCACTTCTCATAAAGTTTTCACTGGACCAGCAGAGCAAGCTTTTCTAATATTAATGAAATTTAAGCTGACGTAAAGTACTATTAAGGGGGTGTTTGGAACTGATTCTGCTTCTCCTTTTTTTAAAGCAGAAGCAGATTCAGAATCGGTTTTCATAAGCTGGTCTCCCCCAGCTTCTAAAAAAACTGATTCTAGGAGTAAATTAGAGCACCATAGTCACTTTTGTACTTTCACCCAAACACTCCAACTTCTACTTCAGCTCCTTGATGGAGCATAAACGGTTTTAAAAATCAGATACAAACACCCCTTAAGTTGAAAACTAAAACACTTTCAATGGAAAAACAACCAATATGTCTTACTTGTTACCACCATTCTCTAGACATCGCTCAACCTTGAACTCGTTAAACCAGGGAAAGATGATGTACTTGATGTATTCTAGACACGGATTTTTCTTTACAACCTTGGGTGGGCAGAAAGCCTTCTTTATTTTGAGATTCACATCTGCCTACAACATCAAAGAAAAAACAAGTGTCTGTTATGAGTAGTCAATGACACCCAACTGTGTTGATAGAATAAATGGTATCCAATGTGCACTACCTCTTCATCATCCATGAAAATGGAGGATGACGGATCACTATTGGACATCTTCTCTTGTCCCTCCTGCAAGCCAGGCAATATGTCTGCATGCCAAAATATCAGTGAAGGGAAAAAATAAAGCTCCCAAACAAATTCCACATTTACAAAATTGCTATTTTCGTGAATGTCCCAAGAAAAATCAATTTATACAGGCACAAAATTCAAGAAAATGAAAACTGTATTCATAAAAGGGGGGGAAATCATCTGAACAACATATTTAATTGGAGAGGAGAAAATGAGGGATAATTTTGGACACGCAGGAAAAAGAATGTGAATATCTTTAGGGACAGAGGATGTATTGATTTTGAACTTGAAAAAAAAAGGGTGTGGAAGTATACGATGAGACAAACTGATGGGCTTGTTTTTCCTCTTTATATCTTCACAGTATTGTCTTGCAAGTACATTCACTTCTCGCTGGTCCATTCCCAATTGACAGATATCAGCCTGCTAGGAAAAGGGCATGCAGTTGGTTGCACACACAATATATTCAAGGATGTATGCATCTAAATGTATAAACGAGAAAATCATGCGAGTGTCCTGTCCATAAAAAGGGCAGCCAGGTGCATGAAGTCACTCTCGCAAGGCGAGGCTCCAAGGGTCCGACCACAAGGGTGTATAAGGGGCAAGCCTTACCCTGTCAAATAATTTACAAGAGACCACTCTCAAGACTTGAACCCGGACATCAACACCTTAGTGTACAGTTTAAGCCTAAAATTTAGCACACATGGTACTAGTCTTTAATGCGGAAATGACCTTGCTATGGGGAAGTTACATCCCAATACACTAAAACATGTCCAGATCGAATAAATAAATAAGTAAATAAATAAGTAAATAAATAAGTTAATAAATAAATAAATAAGTAAATAAATAAGTTAATAAATAAATAAATAAGTAAATATATAAGTTAATAAATAAATAAATAAATAAATAAATAAATAAATAAATAAATAAATAAATAAATAAATAAATAAATAAATAAATAAATAAATAAATAAATAAATAAATAAATAAATAAATAAATAAATAAATAAATAAATAAATAAATAAATAAATAAATAAATAAATAAATAAATAAATAAATAAATAAATAAATAAATAAATAAATAAATAAATAAATAAATAAATAAATAAATAAATAAATAAATAAATAAATAGGTAAATAAATAAATAAACAAATAAATAAATAAATAGGTAAATAAATAAATAAATAAATAAATAGGTAAATAAATAAATAAATAAATAAATAAATAAATAAATAAATAAATAAATAAATAAATAAATAGGTAAATAAATAAATAAATAAATAAATAAATAAATAAATAAATAAATAAATAAATAAATAAATAAATAAATAGGTAAATAAATAAATAAATAAATAAATAAATAAATAAATAAATAAATAAATAAATAAATAAATAAATAAATAAATAAATAAATAAATAAATAAATAAATAAATAAATAAATAAATAAATAAATAAATAAATAAATAAATAAATAAATAAATAAATAAATAAATAAATAAATAAATAAATAAATAAATAAATAAATAAATAAATAAATAAATAAATAAATAAATAAATAAATAAATAGGTAAATAAATAAATAAACAAATAAATAAATAAATAGGTAAATAAATAAATAAATAAATAGGTAAATAAATAAATAAATAAATAGGTAAATAAATAGGTAAATAAATAAATAAATAGGTAAATAAATAAATAAATAAATAAATAAATAAATAAATAAATAAATAAATAAATAAATAAATAAATAAATAAATAAATAAATAAATAAATAAATAAATAAATAAATAAATAAATAAATAAATAAATAAATAAATAAATAAATAAATAAATAAATAAATAAATAAATAAATAAATAAATAAATAAATAAATAAATAAATAAATAAATAAATAAATAAATAAATAAATAAATAAATAAATAAATAAATAAATAAATAAATAAATAAATAAATAAATAAATAAATAAATAAATAAATAAATAAATAAATAAATAAATAAATAAATAAATAAATAAATAAATAAATAAATAAATAAATAAATAAATAAATAAATAAATAAATAAATAAATAAATAAATAAATAAATAAATAAATAAATAAATAAATAAATAAATAAATAAATAAATAAATAAATAAATAAATAAATAAATAAATAAATAAATAAATAAATAAATAAATAAATAAATAAATAAATAAATAAATAAATAAATAAATAAATAAATAAATAAATAAATAAATAAATAAATAAATAAATAAATAAATAAATAAATAAATAAATAAATAAATAAATAAATAAATAAATAAATAAATAAATAAATAAATAAATAAATAAATAAATAAATAAATAAATAAATAAATAAATAAATAAATAAATAAATAAATAAATAAATAAATAAATAAATAAATAAATAAATAAATAAATAAATAAATAAATAAATAAATAAATAAATAAATAAATAAATAAATAAATAAGAGTTGTAATGGCAATAGAACAGATGAATTTTTACCAATTATCGGCATTATCAGTTTTCATGCCATGTCCAGCACCAACTCTTTAACTACACGTCTATTGGTCTACTGTCTAAATACACAATGAATGGTTTGAGGCAGGGTAGTTAAAAGCAAGCGCCTGAGTGCTTAAGGGCACCAGGTGAGGCACAACCACTGTTTGCACTTTATGAGTTGCTCGGCATAGCAACTTGTCAGGCACAGAAAACGCGCATGAAGTGCACAAGGTGCAAAGGCACATGCTCAATGCCTCTAGGTCAGAAGGATTACGGTGTGGTGTAAGCTACACACATATTGGGCCAAATGACAGCATCGACTATTGAGGTATGGCACATACTCCCTCCGTCCCCTTTTAAATGTCCTGGAAGAGGGTGTCACGAGTTTTAAGAAAAGTGGGTTTGCGTGGTTCATATTAATTGATAAAGTAAGAATAAAGTAAGTATAAAGTAAGAATGATTTTGAGCCACACAAATTTTACCAAATAAAATATGGGACAACTAAGTAGGGACATCCCAATAAGGTAAAATGAGACATTTAAAAGGGGACGGAGGGAGTATATATAAAGGTTCTTTTCATATACGTAAGAAATATGCAAACTATCACGGTGATCAAAATACATGAATAGATAAATAACTTTTGTAATACAAATTCAGGCAAAAGACAATTGACTTTAACATCAACAAATATTACCTTGAGGAAAAATATGTCTGCGCACTGCATGCATGGGTAGAATATATGGGCAGCACTGGCAGTGAATTCATCTAGTTCAGGGCGACCCATAATTTTATGGCATCTGACAATTACAAGGAGGGAGATATCGAGACATTTTCCAGCGACTGTTTTTCTTTTAAAGGGAGGAGATGAATGTTCACTACTAACCTCAATATTCTATCAAGTGTATTTCTCCGTGCAATGTCCATAACAAGTGGCCAGTACTCATCAGCTCTAGAATTTATCTCTTTGGAGGCCCATAAAAACTCAATTTTGTTACTCTCCAGATTCATTCCCACAGATTTCCATATCTCAATCAGATACTGGCCAACAACTTGAATTTTCTTCAAGTCCCCGCCCATCTTGTCGTTTAGTAGAGCAAACCAATCTGCAATCCAAATCTTTACTTTACAGCCCGAAGATACCAACTTGTTAACGTTAATTGTCTTCATAACACCCTGTTCATGGAGGATTTGATGTTGAGAATAAAGTCCAGAGAAAGGCACACATAACCACACATCCAACCACACTTCGTTGATGATCTAGATAATATTGCATTTTACTGATGATCTTTCAAACCCAGTGTTCAAAATCCATTGGGGACCAGTAGGCATTGGACCAGTGCCTACGACTTTTTTGTGGATCCTGGATGGCTAGATGCTGCCTGGAATCAAAGCCTATTTGAAGTAATTTATTATTTGAAGTCTTAGTATAATCAATTTAATATATTAAACCTTCAAATAAAGTAACATATGGGACGGGGCCTATTCAGCCCTTACGATTGTGGCACTGAATTTCTTGTTTTTACTTTTTTTCTTAATTAAAGCCTACTAATCACATACTCAATCTGTCCCATTTAGTATGTCCCGCCTTTCTTTTTTAAGCCACCAAAAAATGTTTATCCCATGCCAAATTTGGCCACGGTTTGTGGCTTAATCATGCTCACATTTACAGATTCAATATAACCACAATATCCAACTATTCCTCAATATTTGTGCCAAACTCCATGTCCCAAACTAAATGGGACGGAAGTGGTATTTTCATACATTCTTTTTTATCCACTGTTATGCTTTAAGTGGGGAAATAAACAGACGTATGGTATGTTTTAGTACAACCCAAATATCATAACAGTGTCAGATACATAAACTAAAGCAAAATGTTAAAACTGCCACCAAGTAACTCGAAAATGCATTTATGATTACCCAAGACAAATACCAAAAGGCATAGAAGAAATTCATTTCCAACAGTATCCCCCCACACACACAAATGACAAAATTGAAAAATGCCTAATAAACGCCAACTAGAACAAGTTTTTTTATGAAATATGATGCTTACACGCAATTCCCTTCTGGTGAGTTCTACCAACTTTTTTTTTATGTCTAATTTCTTTCCCTTTGGGTTTCATTTTCATAAGGGATCGTCATCGTGCTTCCTATTTGCAACCGCAATCAACGAGTTACCCTTGACAACTCCTTGAAATCAAACCCTTAATGTAAGGGTCCCCTTTACCTACGGTGTTGGAGGTGTATGGCAATTGCTGGAATGGAACTCAAAGTTCACACAAGTTTTGATGCATGCTGCCATATAATATTACGGAAGATATTATGAGCAACATCATCATCATTACCCCAGTGCCGCAAAGGCTCCCACCTTTGGTGGGGTAGGGGGGTCGGATGTAAGCAGTATTACCGTTGTATTAAAGCACAAAGAGACTGTTTCCGGATGACCAATTGTGCAAATCGTGCCAAAAAATAGTGAGCCTTTGGCTCCATTGCAAATGATGGGGAAAAAACAGCAAACAAGAAAAATATTGACCACTGATAGTTGATTGATTCTGTTCTGCTTTGATATCAGAAAGTGATTTCCTAGGACTTCCCTTTCCTTGTTTTTGGCTTTCATATGCATGTTATAGCTCTTAAGGGAACTTTCAAATGGTAATAAAAGATAAAAGAAAAACTAAGAAGAATCAAGGAGAAGGAAAACTCCCCAAATTCCAAAGGAGACGTAAAACGCTGTAAAATTTTGCCGCCCTTTGCCATCACTTACGTAGTATGTTTCATTTTGATTCTGTTTCCGGAGCCATTGGAAATTTCACGCTTTCTGCTGATGAGTACACACTCCTCTCTAATTGAAAAGCCAAAGAATCTTTATAAGAAGCAAAATGCAGTGCGGGGGTGCAACTAGCATTGCAGGCAGTAAAAGATTCAGTTGAGAGTTGAGACACTTACTAACCAGCTAGACCACATATCCTAATCAGTGGAGACAGCTGTAGAATCACCCCACCAGTAGACGCCACATATCCAAGAGACCAAGAGTGACTCTCAACCACTACAACGCATAATGCCAGTACTGTCTATGACACCTAAAACTGAGACTGCCAGGTACATAATAATTAACAAGATTACCCTTTAACACTCCATCAACAGGCAAATCTCCCAAATCATGAGTCTTGAACTCCTGTCTCCTAGAGCTTGACTAATTTGGCATTTAATTGCCACTTGCCCGAGCGTCACTAATGCACTTATGCACTATGTCCTGGGAGAGGGGTGGCTATCCAGCATTAGGAACCAGGTTTATAGGGTGAAAACTAAGACTCCAAGTCTGGACGGCAGAGTGTGTGGAGATCAAGGCAAGCAGCACTCCTACTCTCAGTTGCAGCAGATAGGGTGAAGAATAACATTCAAATCTTAAATTCATGAAGATCAAAAGATTCACGACTTAAGGATAAATAGAATACAGATTATTGTTTTAATAATAATACCCCGGTTTGTATAATCGGATTTACTCGAGATTAGGGCTTGTTTATTTCGAATTAAGGCTTAGTTTCTTTCAAAAAGATGCAAAAAACCAAATATTCCAACATGGAGACGGTTGCCTTTTTCATCCTATGTGCATATGATGTCATGTGCTAATTGGGCTTTGACAAATTTAAAATACTATAGCGTACGATTGAAATAATTTTGAATACATATCTACACACAGATATAATAACTACTACTTACTAATATTAGAGCTACTGCAAAAACAGATTTCATATTTGGTGGAACTCAGCACCCCGAATTTCACTTCCTCCGAATAAATGAGTTATATCCAATGTTCAATTACATTCATAGAGCTCATGAGGAAGACAAAATCTTCAATATGTCGCATGAAGATCAATGCACTTCAAAACCATATGAAACATGGAAACAAAATGCCAAAATTTGAGAAAGGTTATGTCACGACACTTTAAGCGCAACGGTTTAATCGAAATGGCATGACAGAAAATACAGACCTGAGCAATGTGCATCCGACCAGAGGGTTCAAATCCATCATAGCATATTGGCTGAGGCTTATTCGCCAACAGATTCTTTAACTCTTCGTCCTGGATACACTCTTCCCCTATGCTCCTAACAATATCAAATCTCTCCTCCCAACTCATCCTTGATTAAAAAACAATTAACGATAAATCACAAAAGGCAAATAGCACTAGGAACAGTGTAACAAATATACACGTAGAAAGAGTAGGGGAAGATAATTTCATTACTGGGACTCGGAATTGCACGGGCTAGAGGATGAGTGCAAGGATACTGATCCCAAAGGATCCAACTGGGGCTCTTGATTTTCCATGGATGACTGCTTCTGCAAGCATATGATCGTGAGTTACCTGAGGTTAGAGTTGTCCGAAACTCTAAATTCAAATAACAAATTGAGCATATTACCTTGCTGTCCTCTATTTTGAAACCCTAAATCAGGGTTCGGCCCATGTGGTGGGCTAGGGCAACATGAGCTAAGCGGTGGGCCAGGTTAGTATAGCCCATTAAATAGGGTGAAAAATAAACACGCTAATTTTCTGTGTACAGTGTGACCAAGTTACTATTTTGTTCTTTTAAGTTCAACTTCTTATAATTTTTCACAAAAAAAACTGTAGTATGGAATCCGTAAAATAAAAGAAGTGATGTATTTTGACCCCTGCATTCCAGTTTTTGTTGTAACAAAACTCCAAGGCTATTATATATTCTAAGTAGGAATGGATCCGGGTCGGTCCGGTCCTGGTTCCGGGCTGAGACTGCCCAGTCCCTGTAAAAAAATTGTCACTCCCAAGTCCTACCCGTATAATTCCAGGTCTAGGTCAGTTCCAAGTTCCTAGGTGGTCCAGTCCCAGACCCGGTTCCGTTTATTTTTTTTAACGTTTTGCCCGGTTCTAAGCCTATAAAAATATCATTAGGTCCCCAAATCGTTGAACCAGAACCGTGTACCCCATACACCTGGTCGGACACCCGGTTTTTGTTCAGTACCGGAAAACGGACCCGAATTGGTCCCGCACAGTACCAGACCCGGTTCCAGACCAGGTCCATGCCTAGTTCCAAGCACCACTCACTTTTATAATACCATCTAGTCGATTTAGTCTATTCTGAGGTGCTACAGATGACGTTATGTTGATTCTACAACTTTATAAATAAAAATGTTGCCCTTTCTGTTGCTTGAAATGTGAATGCAGAACGCTCCAGAAGTCTAGAACAATCTCCAAAATAACCAAGCAAAACGTCTTTAATCTGTAATAAAAAAATCTAGTTTTCCGCTCTAAAGCGGAGGGGTTAAAGAAGCACATCTTTAATCTGTAATAAAAATATCTAGTTTTCCACTCTAAAGTGGAGAGTTTGAAGACGCATATCTTATTTCCATTTGCATTACTTGGTAACTCTGTAGCTATGGAAAAAGAAAATCAATACACTTATATTCCTCAGTAATGCTAAACTTCGAATAATTCAGTGATCCAAATTGCGAACACATACCTTTATCCTCATAAGAAGTTCCTTTGCCATGAAATTGTTCTTGAAATGATCACGCACAGGCTGTGCATAGCACATGAGAGATGTTTAAGAAAATATATATTCCTAAATGTTGGCATGTTGTTTTCTCACTTCTAATGAAAAAACTAAACCAAATTCTTATAAGGCACCTAACTTGGACTCCATCGTCCAAGTACACATCAAATGTTTGAAAAGATGCTAAAAATGTAACCATATGTTTGGATCTGGGAAAATGCTAGGGAAAGGAAAGAAAATGCCAGAGCGTGTTATTTCTGTATGCTTGGGTTACCTCAGGAAAAGCAATGGAAGATATTACAACTCCATAAGGTGACTCCATTCATATACGGATAAAAATGTAGCTCACAAGGTAATAAAATTGTAAAACTACATGTGTCAGTGGCTCAGTGCCATTTATAATGCCACTATCAATGGTGTCAATGCAGTGTATACTGCCGATGTCACTGCCACTATCACTACTACCACTGTTGGGTACACCGCTGATGTCACTGCCACAGTCAAACACATCAGTGTGACTAAGGCAACAAATTCTAAGGACTTTTATGACGATTTGTCAGAACGTTTTCGATGAACTGTCCGGGTAGCCGGCGGCGGTTTCAGACTTGCCCCAACAACTTTTTCCAGTGATTTAAAAAAATGATAGGAACCGGGCAGATTAGTGCTAATAATAATAATAATAATAATAATAATAATACCTCCATCCTATATTGGTTACCTGTTTGAATTTGCCACGATTATTAATAAAGTTGTAGAAAAGTACAAGTTGTGGTTGAGATTTGGGTAGAATAAACTCAAATGATAAGGACAACATATATCTTGCCAAAAAAGGAAATAGGACATTCATTTTAGGACAACGAAAATGGGACAGAGGGAGTAATAAATTGTACCGGTAGTATTCGTAGAAGGGAAGGGAGGAATAAGGGTTAGACAGAATTTGAGTGGGAATTAGGCTGGGAGAGTGAGGTGACTTGAAGTGTCTCAAACCTGGTACTTCTCTTTCTATTTTATGTTTACGTTGATTTCTAGTTACCCTTGCAATAGGTTAAGGAATTCTGAGAACTTCATCACTATAATAGATTCAGGACAACAATGAGATATATGAAAAGGCTGTGAAGATTTTAGAAAAATGTTGGCCTGAGGTAGTGATGATGAAGGATCAAGGACCGAAGCTAAAGGTCCAGAAATCAATTTGGCACTGGGAAGGGTGAGGCACATGGATGAAGATGAGTGTCAGGTTTGTTTCCTATCACCCACCTTGATAACAAGGTGGTTGTCTAAGGGGGAGATATGATAGGAACCGGACAATCAAGTTTCCCTCATGCCAAGAGAATAATGAGATGCTCGGAGGTGAAACCAACAAATCGAAAATGTCCACATTTCTAGGCATCGGATGATCAACCACATGTTTTAATCTCCTCTGCATCACTCTTAAGTCTTAACAGTGTTCCTGAAGTACAGTTCAACTCAGGGAACAATTTAAAACAATAAAGGTGAGAGTCCAAGAGGCTGATAGGGACCTGAAGAGCCATTACTAATAACTTAATAAGAATAATAGAATTATATTAAATATGTACAAAGAGAGTTTTTGGCCACGTACTAGTTAGCTTTGGGCCGGTCCATGATGGAAATTTTGTAAATAAGAAGAGGGAGTAGAATATAGGTGCGCAGAAATTAGTTGGAATTGGGATCTAGGAGAGTGAGGCCTCTCGAAGAGCCTCGTCTGTCATTTCTGCTTTCCCGTTTCTGCAATCTTCCTCACTAACATACAGTAAATTAATGTTACGAATTGGAGTTCCTATTATTGGTATCAGAGCACTCGCTCCTGGAGACACCTTCCTGGAGACAGAAAGTCAGAATCGTTCATGGCCAGAGCATCGATGGAGCAGCGATTGGAGAAATTCAAACGGAAGTTGGCTGAAAGACGATCAAGGATGGTCGAGATTATGGATGAGGAACAAAAGACGGTGGTCGACAAGTTTAACCAGCTGAAAAAACAGAATCACCGGCGAGCACGATCGAGGATGGTTCGCCGTTGTCAGAATTCTGCAATCCAGGTTTTTACATCGTCGCTAGACGATTCTTCCAGTCTGCACTCCGCAGGTATCGTTGCAAGCTGTCACTCCAAGTTCGAAGGCTTCATCGGTAGCTGATGCCTCCACTTTGCAGGTTTCCTCACTTGCCTTATCTCACAGCTCATCGTCGCATGTCGTTCCTCATCTTGCGCCAGATTCATCCGCCTCCTGAACCATCCACTTAGTCGCATCAGGCAAGGGATCGCAGGGGACTCAACCAACGATAATGAATAGAGAAATAAAGACAGCTGCACCTTCAGTCCCGGAACCAGACTCTCTGCTAGCCTGAAGAGGATGTGTCGCAACTTACGGGAACTCTCCCTGTTAATCTGGAAAATCCTTGGAAAACAAAGGTATGGCTATTAGGAACTCAACAAAGCGACACAGAACAATTTGTGTGTAGTTTGCCCCCACTGGATGAAACTGGAATGCGTGTTGTTGTTCAATCTGTGGTGCCAGGTGGTCCAGCTAATGACTATTTAGAAACTGGTGATCTTTTTTGTATAAATGGGGAGGTGATTACATTATTTCTAAAAAAATGATGGAGATACGTGATGCCCCACCTCGGATGTACAACCGTGATGACATTTCTGGCTTATGAATGGCTAAGCCAGTTTTATCCCCAGGCTTATTTATCTTGTCTGGCACAGATTCTGATAACCAAGTTCTGTTGTGCCTAAATGCCTATTGTGTTGGTGAAGCTCCAATGAATGGAACAGCTCAACATTTTATAAATCAGTCAATAGAAGGTATTACAGATAATGCAAATCAGTTATAAGTTAGTTTCAGAGAAAGAGAGCTTGTTAGCTGATGAAATTGTTCTGTCTGATGGTTCCTCACAAGTACTTACACTGTTACACAAGATAATTTGCCAGAGACCACTACAGATAATGAGGTAATAAGATTCTTTTTTGCGAGGTAGTAAGCTATTGTGAGGGATTTGTGAAAAAGTCAGCAAATGACTCGGTTGCTGAGTGTGTGGTTGAGCCCACTCTTGTGGAGCTGCAAGTTCACGTGCCATCATCTGTTTGTGCTGCCAAACTCCTTGCTGAACCACCGCCTTCTCGTGGAAATACTGTGTCCATGGTGGGGTTGAGCAAGTGCCAGATGACAACATCCAGGAAGTAAATTGTCACTAATGTTTGTGTTTCTTTGACTACTCTGTCATCTGGTTGTCCAAACTATATAGCAACAGACATGGAAGTTTTAAAGCAACCTGAAGGATTAACCCTCCAAGGTGATGACTGCAATGAGATTGAGGAATTACTTGAATGGCGTGAAAACCCTAAGGTGAAGAACATGAAGATGAAGGATCAAGTATTGAAGCTAAAGGTCCAAAAGGCTGTGATGTACTGGGAAGGGAGAGGAGCCAAGATGAAGGTGATTTTTGTTTCCTGTCACCCACCTTGAGGACAAGGTGATTGTTCAAGGGGGGAGATATGATAGGAGCCTGAATAGCCAATAATAATAAGAATGATAGAATTTAATTAAATATGTATAAAGGGGGTTTTGGGCCAGGTACCTGTTAGCTTTAGGCCGGCCCATGATGGAAATTTATAAATAAGAGTAGGGAGTAGAATAAAGGTGGCCTATCAAAGAGCCTCGTCTGTCTTTTCTTCTTCCCCGTTTCTGCACTCTTCCTCACTAATATACGTTAAATTACTGTTACGAATTTGGAGTTTCCATCAGGGGCTATAGAAAAATCCATGGGGCAGCTTCGATCAGTTTTGTAGATGTTAGAGGGACAATAAACTATAATAAACTTGATGAGCTTTTGAAGTTAGTCGCATTTTTTGAAAAGCAAAACTAATTACATTTATTTATTTATGCCATTAAAAAGGGTAGAAGTCATACCCCCCCCCCCCCGTCCCTTGAACAAATATTATATGTGAGTATATTTTTATTGAGTTTGAAATAATATTTCAATTTTTTAACACTTTCTTCCCTTCCAAAAATCTCTAATATTTCCCTAGCTATTTTTTTCCCAAACATTTCCAAGCAGTGGTAAACCACGCATGTACCTGCAGGATCTTGTTCAGAGCTTTTGAGAGAGCAAGTTTAAGGTCAGCAGGATGCAAGCTACCACATTCATAGTCAGTAACGAGTTCCTCGAAAGTCGAGAAGGTCCTGCACATGAATAATAAGTTAATAACAAGTTATGCGATGGAGAACGGGTGATAATCACTTCTCATAAAGTTCTAACAGGACCAGCAGAGCAAGCTTTTCAAATATTAATGAAAATTAAGCCAAAGTAAAGTACTACTAAGATGAAACCTAAAACACTTTCAATGGCAAAACAACCAACATGTCTTACTTGTTACCACCATTCTCTAGACTTCGCTCCACCTTGAACTCATTAAACCAGTGAAAGATGATGTACTTGATGTATTCTAGACACGGATTTTTCTCTACAACCTTGGGTGGGCAGAAAGCCTTCTCTATTTTGAGATTCACATCTTCCTATAACATCAAAGAAAAATAAAAAGACCAAGTGTCTGTTATGAGTAGTCAATGACATCCAACTGTGTTGATAGACTCAATGGCATCAACTATGCACTACCTCTTCATCTTCCATGAAAATGGAGGATGACGGATCACTTTTGGACATCTTATTTTGACCCTCCTGCAAGCCAGGCAACATGTCTGCATGCCAAAATATCAGTGAAGGGAAAAAATAAAGCTCCCAAACAAATTCCACATTTACAAAATTGCTATTATTCTTGTCTCAAGAAAAATCAATTTATACAGGCACAAAATTCAAGAAAATGAAAACTGCATTCATAAAAGGGAGAAAAATCATCTAAACAGCATATTTCATTATAGAAGAAAAAATGAGGGATAATTTTCGACATGCAGGAAAAAGAATGTGAAAGTCTTTAGGAACAGAGGGTGTATTGATTTTGAATTTAAACAAAAAGGATGTGGAAGTATACGATGAGACAAAATGATGGGCTTGTTTTTCCTCTTTATATCTTCACAGTACTCTCTTGCAAGCACATTCACTTTTCGCTGGTCCATTCCCAATTGACAGATATCAGCCTGCTAGGAAAAAGGTATGCAGTGAGTTGCACACACAATATATTCAAGGATGTATGCATCTAAATGTGAAAGCGAGAAAAACATGTGAGGGTTCTGTCCATAAAAACTAAAAAGGGCAGTCGGGTGCATGAAGTCACTCTCGCAAGGCAAGGGTCCAGGAAAGGGTCAGACCACAAGGGTGTATAAAGGGCAAGCCTTCCCCTGTCAAACAATTTACAAGAGACCACTCTCAAGACTTGAACCCGCACATCATCACCTTAGTGTTCAGTTTAAGCCTGAAATTTAACACACATGGTACCAGGGGTGGATTCGGTTCGGGAACCGGACCGATATATGAAAATCCCGAACCGAACCGATTATTCGGTTCCTCAAATACTTCAAACCGCACCCGAACCAAAATTTTCGGAAACCGAATTTTTAGAAAACCGAATTTCCAATTCGGTTTTTTTAGTTTGATTGAAAAACCGATTGATTTGGAAATATTTTAACTATTGAATGGCATCCAAGCAGACTTGGCCGCCTATTAAAGCCTCAATCCAACAGCCGTATATATACGGACTTATGAGGAGTATATCTCCCGTTTCAACCGGTGTGGGAAACTTTTCAAAGGGTTTAGGAAAAATAAATGAAAGGAACGCGCAGGATGGGAATCGAACACCGGTGGAAAAACTAAACTCCCACTGAGTCCGCTCTGCCAACCGCTGGACCGTATGAACAACTGATCCATGATTAGGATTTTATTAAATATATTACGTATATAGCTGCAGAATAAATAAATAAAAATCACTAAATAAAAGTCGGTTCAGTTCGAAGCGATTTTAAACCTCCTAAAACCGTATTTACACCGATTATTTTTCGGTTCCCGACTTTCGGGTCCCGATTTAGTTGGTTCGGTTTCGGTTCGGTTTTTTTATTGCTCGGTTCGTTTTTTTTCGGTTCGCTTTTCGGTTTTTTGGTTTAAAATCCCAGCCCTACATGGTACTAGTCTTTAATACAGAAATGACCTTGCTATGGGGAAGTTGCACCCAAATACACTAAAACATGTCCAGACCCAATAAATAAATAAATAAATAAATGAAAACTAAATAAAATAAATAAATTAGATAATAAATAAATAATTTAATAAATAAATAAATAGGACCTGTAATAGCAATAGAACAGAGGAATATTTAACAATTTTCAGCATTATCAGTACCCATGCCATGTCCAGCACCAACTCCTTAACTACATGTATATTGGTCTACTGTCTAAATACACCATGAATGGTTTGAGGCAGGGTAGTTAAAAGCAAGTGCCTGAGTGCTTAAGGGCACCAGGTGAGGCGCAACCACTGTTGTGCACTTTATGAGTTGCTCGGCATAGCAACTTGTCAGGCACAGAAACCGGCATGAAGTGCACAAGGTGCAAAGGCACATGCTCAATGCCCCTAGGTCAGAAGGATTACGGTGTGGTGTAAGCTACACACATATTTGGCCAAATGGCAACATTGACTATTTAGGTATGGCACACATATATAAAAGTACTATTCATATGCGTAAAAATATGCAAACTATCACGGTGACCAAAATATATGAATAAATAAATAACTTTTGTCATAACAATTCAGGCAAAAGATAAATGACTTTAACATCAACAAAGATTACCTTGAGGAAAAATATGTCTGCGCACTGCATGCATGGGTAGAATATTTGGGCAGCACTAGCAGTCAATGCATTTAGTTCAGAGCGACCCATGATTTTACAGCATCTGACAATTACAAGGAAGGAGAAATCAAGACATTTTGCAGCGACTGTTTTCCTTCTAAAGGAAGGAGATGAGTGTTGACTAACTTCGATATTCTACGAAGCGTATTTCTCCGTGCAATATCCAAAACAAGTGGCCAGTACTCATCAGCTCTAGAATTGATCTCTTCAGAGGACCATAAAAACTCAATTTTGTTACTCTCCAGATTCATTCCCGCGTCTTTCCATATCTCAATCAGATACTGACCAACAGCTTGAATTTTCTTTAAGTCCCCACCCATCTTGTTGTTTAGTTGAGCAAACCAATCTGCAATCCAAATCTTTACTTTGCAGCCCGAAGATACCAACTTGTTAACATTAATTGTTTTCATAACACCCTGTTGTTCATGGAGGATTGGATGTTGATGTGGTGAGAATAAAGTCCAGAGAAAGACACACATAACCACACATCCAACCACATTTCGTTAATGGTCTAGATATTATTGCTTTTTACTGATGATCTTTCATACACAGAGCAGCATTTAGAAATTCAGGAAGAAAAAAGAACAAGTTAATCACTATCTGTGTTCAAAATCCTCTGGGGACCAGTAGGCACTGGACCGGTGCTTATGACTTTTTGTGGGGCCCAGATGGCTAGATGCTGCCTAGGATCAAAGCCAATTTGAAGTACTTTTTTATTTGAAGTCTTAATATAATCAATTTAAATATATTAAACCTTCAAACAAAGCAACATGTGGGGCCTATTCAGCCCCTACGATTGAGGCTTTGAATTTCTTGTTTTGCCTTTTTATTAAATAGAGCCTACTAAACAAATACTCCATCTGTCCCATTTAGCTTGTCCCGTCTTTCTTTTTTAAGCCATCCAAAAATGTTTATTCATGCCAAATTTGGCCATGGTTTGTGGCTTAATCATGCTTACATTTACAGATTCAATATCAACCACAATATCCAACTATTTCTTATTATTTGTGCCAAACTTCATGTCCCAAACTAAATGCGACGGAGGTAGTATTTTCACACATTCATATACACTAATATATACAAAGTACATAACAAAATAGACACTAATATATACAAAGTACATAACAAAATAGACACTACCAATCGAAACATTCGGTAATTAAGGGGTTTTGTGAATTTAATTGTTTTGTTGTTTTAATATTTAATTTCTTTCCTTTAAGGTTTCGTTTTCATAAGGGATCGCCATTGCGCTTCTTCCTATTTGCAATCGTCATAGACGATCTAACCTTGAAAACTCCTTGAAATTCAGCCATCAGCCCTCAATGTAAGGGTCCCCATTACCTACGGTGTTGAAGGTGTGTGGCAATTGCTGGAATAGAACTCAAAGTTCACACGGGTTTTGATGCATGCTGCCATATAATATTACGGGAAGATAAAGAAGAGCATCATATTCATCATTACCCCAGTGCCGCAAAGGATCCCACATTTGGTAGGGTAAAGGGGGTCGGATGTACGCAGTCTTATCCTTGTACTAAAGCACAAAGAGACTTGTTTCTGAATGACTCATAGTGCAAATCGCATTGAAAATTGCATGGATTGACAGCTGCTTTATAACGCAGACAATTCAGTGAGCCATTTTGTTTTATTACATTAAGTTCTCAAGCCAAAAAAATAGTGAGTCTTTGGCTCCATTGCAAATGATGGAAAATAAAATTAAAAAAGCAATCAAGCAAAATAATGAGGAGTGATAGTTGATTGATTATGATCTGAATTCTGATTTGATTTCAGAAAGTGATTTTCTAGGACTTCCCTTTCCTTTTTTTGACATTCATATGCATGTAATCTCTCTTATAAAAGGGACCCTTCTAATGATAATAAAATATTGGCTAAAGGGTCAAATAGGCCCTTGAACTAACTTAAAGTGTTCAATTAGGCCCTTATATAGAAGGTTCAGCCCGTCCATCGCCAATTGGAGAGGTTCCCGGTGGATTTTTTGATGAAATTTTTTGAGCATCTTCTTCAAGGGCCTATTTGGTAGTACGAAAATATTCAACAAAAACTAAGAGCTTGTTTGGTAGCACGAAAATCGGCTGAAGTGGCTGCATTGGCTGATTCTGCCTATATAAGAAAAAATTATTTTTAAAATATATTTTATTAATATAATAAAGAAAAAATTATATGTAAAAATAGCTAAAATGATCATCTACAGTAACTTCAACCAATACAGCCAGAAAAGTAACTTCAACCTTACTTTTTCTGCTTATTACACAACTCAGCGCACGAAAACAAAAGTTACGTGTTTGGTCAAAAAATTGGCTAATAAGCCTGATAAACCGAAAAATAGTGTTGCCAAACGGCCTCTAAGAAAAATCAAGGAGAAAAAAACTCCCCAAATTCCAAAGAAGAAGTAAAACGCTGTAAAATTTCACCTCCCCTTCCCATCACTTACGTAGTATGTTGCATTCCAGCGACGCAAAGAACACCGGTACATAGCATTTTGATTCTGTTTTTGGAGCCGTGGGAAATTACATGCTTTCTGCTGATGACTACACACTCCTCTCTGAGATACTAAAGAAGCAACAGAAGTTGACAAGCCAAGGAATCTTTACAAGATGAAAAATAGAGTGCGGGAGTGCAACTAGCATTGCAGGCAGTAAGAGATTCAGTTGAGAATTGAGACACTTTCTAACCAGCTTGACCACATATCCTAATCAGTGGAGAGTGGAGACATCTGTAGAAGCACCCCCATCAGTAGACGCCTCATATCCTAGAGTGACTCTCAACCACTACAACTCATCATGCCAGCAGTGTCTATGACACCTAGAACTGAGACTGCCAAGTACATAATAATTAACAAGATTACCCTTTAACACTCAATCAACAGGCAAATCTCCCAAATCATGAGCCTTGAACTCCTGTCTCCAAGAGCTTGACTAATTTGGCATTTAATTGCCAACTGCCCGAGTGTCACTAATGCATTTATGCACTATGCCCTGGGAGAGGGGTGGCTATCTAGCATTAGGAACAAGGTTTATAGGTGAAAACTAAGAGTCCAAGTCTTGACGGCAGAGTGTGTGGAGATCAAGGCAAGCAGCACTCCTACTATCAGTTGCAGGAGATGGGTTGAAGAGTAACTCTCAAATCTTAAATTCAAGAAGATCAAAAGATTCACGAATGAAGGATAAATAGAATAAAGATTATTGTTTTCATAATAATATATCAGTTTGTTTAATCGGATTTACTCGAGATTAGGGCTTGTTTATTTCGAATTAAGGCTTAGTTTCTTTCAAAAAAGATGCAAGAAACCAAATATTCCAGCATGGAGACAGTTGCCTTTTTCATCCTGTGCGCATATGATGTATTGATGCCATGTGCTAATTGGGCATTGACAAATTTAAAATGACCATACCTTACGACTGAAATCAGTTTGAATACATATCAACACACAAATATAATAACTACAGCTTTACTAATATTAGAGCTACTGCAAAAACAGATTTAATGTTTGGTGGAACTCAGCAGCCGGTATTCACTTCCTCCGAATAAATGAGTTATATCCATAATCCATTATCCATTGTTCAATTACATTCATAGAGCTCATGAGGAAGACATAATCTTTAAAAAGTCGCAAGAAGGTCAATGCACTTCAAAGCCATATGAATCATGGAAACAAAATGCCTAAACACTGAGAAAGGTTATGTCACGACACTTTGAGCACAACGGCTTAATTGCAATGGCATAACAAAAATTACAGACCTGAGCAATGTGCATCCGACCAGAGGGTTCAAATCCATCATAGCATATTGGCTGAGGCTTATTCGCCAATAGATTCTTTAACTCTTCGTCCTGAATACACTCTTCCCCTATGCTCCTAACAATATCAAATCTCTCCTCCAAACTCATCCTTGATTAAAAAACAATTAGGATTAATCACAAAACGCCAATAGCACTAGGAACAGTGTAACAAATATACCGATTACCGAGCAGGGGAAGAGAATTTCATTACTGGTACTCAGAATTGCACGGGCTAGAGGATGAGGAGTGCAAGGATAGTGATCCCAAAGCATTCAACTGGGTCTCTTGATTGTCCATGGAGTGGGAGTTCTGCAAATAAGGCATAACTCTAACCATAACGACAGCCATACCTATCTAGCAGTGGTGGACCTAGGCTTCGGGACCCAGTGTATGCACATTGGACCCTGACCAAGTTTTTTACCTTTTTTTGAAAATCTTATATAAATAATCTCATATTTATAAAGATATAATAAAAAAGTGAAAGATGAGATTATTTATATGATTTTCAAAAAAAGAGTAAAAAACATGGTCAGGGTCCAATGAAAGAAGATGGGGTGCAAAGGTGGGATTATTTTGGGATTATTTAAAGATAGGATTATTATGGGAAGACCGGTGAAAGGTGGGATTATTCTTGTCAATTTTTCCTTAATAATATATATATATGTATGTGTGTGTGTATATATATATATATATATATATATATATATATATATATACATACTACATCTAAAAAAGGCTAAATAAAATATATCAATATAGTAAAACAAAAAGTACTTTTTATAGTTAATGACGTCTTGGTCTTGTAACAGTAACAACATTATACATGGACATTGTATCTACAGAAAATGTAAAAATCAAAATATCACTATAAATATAAACATTACAATATGTCAATATTGATAAACTAACTGAATTATAAAAAAAAAACTAATTCATAACATAGAAAGGTAAAACTACACTAATTGTTTAAATAATTAATTCATTAAATGTGAAATACATTGATGTATTAGAGATTTAAGAATACAATACTAATAAGATTTCAATAATTTAGGGCTAGAGAAATGAATAAAACCTTGGGAACTAGAGTGAATGCGAATTGCAACTCCAAACCTTTGTTGCTATTCTATTAGTAATCTGAAATTTCATACATAGACAATAGACAAATTGATTGATAGTTAACAATAATAATCTGAAGAATGATAACAATAATTATTAACTACTAAGGATTTAAGATTAAAGAAACAAAAAGTCTGAAATAAAGCTTAGGAGTAAACGAGTAATCGCTAGTTTGTGAGAGAGAAGATGCTACTTACGGATTTTGAACGAGGAGGAGGAGTAACGCTAGGGGTTTTGCGCACGGCTAATTTGGCGGACCAGCGATGGTAGGGGTATGCTTCCCCGTTGCTGTTTTTCTAAAGAAGAAACAGAGAATAGGGATTTTGATTTGAAAGAATTTGACTTTCCACGCTACGAGCCCGTTTGGTTACCTCTTTTTCGGCTCAGGCTTATCAGCTTGTTTTTTCATGCATTGAATTTTGAGCCCGTTTGGTAGCACGAAAATCGGCTGTTTTGGCAGATTCTGCTGAGATTTATGAAGTTCTGGCTGAAGTGGCTGCATTGGCTGATTCTGCTGATATAAGAAAAAAAATATTTTAAAAATATATTTTATTAATAAAATAAAGAAAAAATTATATGTAAAAATAGCTAAAATGGTTATCTACAGTAACTTCAGCCAATACAGCCAGAAAAGTAACTCCAACCTTACTTTTTCTGTTTATCACACAATTCAGCGCGCGAAAGCAAAATTTACGTGTTTGGTAAAAAAGTTGGCTGATAAGCCTGATAAGCCGAAAATGATGATTGCCAAACGGCCTCTTTGTAATAAGCAGAAAAAGTAAGGCTTGAGTTACTTTTATGATTGTGTTGGCTGAAGTTACTCTAAATGACTATTTTAGCTATTTTTACATATAATTTTTTCTTTATTTTATTAATAAAATACTCCCTCCGTCCCGTTGGAATGTTCTCACTTTCCTTTTTTTGATGTCACAATTGAAAGTTCTCATTTCTCTAAATGGAAAGTTATCCTACATCAAAACAGTGTCAAACAGTGTCAAAAAGTGCCAAACAGTGTAAAACAGTGTCCAAACAGTGTCCAAACAGTAAAATTTACCCCCTGGTAAGTTTATTTCCTTAATATGTGTAGGTCAAACTGGGAACATTCCAACGGAACGGAGGGAGTATATTTTAATTTTTTTCTTAAATCAGCAGAATCAGCCAATGCAGTCACTTCAGCCAGAACTTCATAAATTTCAGCAGAATCAGCCAAAACAGCCGATTTGCGCCCTACCAAACGGGCTCTACTTTTTGGATGATATTGGATTTTGCACCCCATTTTTACATAACTTTGATTTTGCACCCCATTTCACTTCGAAATCCTTTGACTTTGCACCCTATTTAGAAATTTTCCTTCACAAATGTTATATGATAGGGTGCAAAGTCAAAAGTTTTTTAAAATAGGGTGCAAAATCCAATATCACCCAAAAAGTGGGGTGCAAAGTCAAATTTTCCTTTTGATTTTTGAAATGAGTTTAATTAATTTTTATTGTAAAGCATTAAAATCCATAGACTACCTAGTACCTAGTTGTGCAATATTAAAAAAAACTACGGTCCAGTCCAAATCTTTTATTATACAAAGGCAAAATGAAAAATGCACAGTGTTCCCGCCCAAACACTGTGCAGTAACGGGCCGGGTCATTAAAAATGGGTCCAAAATCGGGTCTGGGAAAATGGGTTCAGAGACGGGTTAATGGGTCATGCAGCAAGTCCTCCTCTGTTCTGCTCAGCAACATTCAGTACAGGCCCAATGTCCAATGATGTTTGTGCTGCTCGAGAGATCAGTTTAGTGACTCAAGAAAATAGAGCTGCAATAATAATAAAAAAGGACAAGCATTGTACTTAAAAGGTTAGAGGCCACACATTAAGTCTTCATACAATTCTTGAGCCACACAACATTAGATGGAATGTACTTGCTTTACAAAATGCATATATGAACACTCTGATATTGCAAAATTATAATCAATGGTTGTACTATAAAATATGGCTCGACAATATTCCAATGCTCTGATTTAATTCTGGCCCAATATCCAAAGCTTTCGTTGCTGATAGGTCTTACTTCTTTGGTCAACAATTGCTAGCTGATATGACTTTTCCGTGGCTCAATAAAGACCAACAAGTGTTTAGCTCACTGCACAATAAGACCATTAAATGAGTGGAGGCTGAGATGTGGGCCGAGTATATAAGTATATTGAAGCAGATTCAAAGCATGTACTTTCACATCTTAAAGTTTAAAAAATGCATTTGAAAAGGCAATAAATAGAGTGTACTTTAATATCTTTAGCAATGAGAGTATATATCAAAAAAGTTGTGCAGCAGAAGATATCATTTAATGCATACCACAACATCCTAAAATCTGTTGGTTATAACATAATGGTTACTAGATTTTAAAGGGCTATAAATACCACTTGACTTGGCAGTTTAACACCACAACACAACAACACATCCAAACTACTTGGCAAGTGAGCAATTTGGATGAGTTCATCAAATACGGAAATGTTGTTTCCCATTGTGAAAAGGAATATTGTTGATACGATGAGTAATTACTGCAAACCAACACATTGTGGTGAGAATCAATCCTATAATTAGGTCTTTTCATTCATATTCTTTTGTGTCTAACACTTAATAAATACAAATATAATTGGCAAGATTGTAAGAAATCATCAACTAACTTTGGAGGAACATGAGTGAGTTTATGCTACAAAGGGTAATCATCAACTACTCATAGGTAAAACTTGAATTATATTATATCAGTTCCTGTAGTACCAATTTTTTATTGTGTATTATCTAATACTTTGACAAATGCAGATGTCATTGGCCATATTGTGGGAATTGTGGGAAATGGTGATCATGAAACACTTGGAATCCAATGCAATAACAAAGGCCTATGGAACTGACTTTGACAGGAACATGAGTGATTTTTTATATCATAAGCATCACACTAAGGGAATAAATTCCTATGTTGGTTCAAGAACTTTCCTATGTTCATTTTAAAAAAACAAAATAGGAACATTTAGTTCAAATAATAAAAATTCATCAATCATACCTGAAATTTTAGGTTTGCATGCTTTCTAACACTTGATAAATACAAGTATCATTGGCAAGTTTGCAGGAAATGTTTCTCAAACAGAGAGACTTAATGGCAAGAACAAAAGGTCCAGAGTAGGACAGATGTGTACCAAAATGATAGATCTGAACAGATGTATATATGAGTGACAAAAAATATGCTGATTTAGTAAATTTATCTCATTAGAATACTCTTATTTTGAAGTCGATTAAATATTTGGTAAAATAAATAAAATCTTTTAAGCAAATAAATCTCATTACATTTCAATTGAAATTCTAACATAATATTTTATTCTATACAAAAAACAGCCAATGATTCATGTCGTTAAGTTTTAAAAACAACTTAAATTCAGAAATGTTTATAGAAACAATCAGTCTTTGATGGCTTTTATAAGCAAAGTATAACCTGAAAAAATAGAGGATGAGGATCATACCGGAGATGTTAGTTGTTCCTTGATATGTCCCTGCAATACCTGAGATTTACAATTCCTTTATGAATAATACATATGATGGCACAATACTTGGTTATGCGATTCTACAAATAAACATTTACTAACTCAGACTATAATGATTAAAAAATAGAATCAATCTTGGAATATAGCTTGATTGACACAGGTTTCCCAAACACAGAATCAATAGCAAGAAAGAAAAGTAACCATTAGAAAGGTAAACTTACGCTGTTTTAATGATCTGATGTACATTATTTTGGGTTTAAAATCTAAAATATTTTACGGTCCAAATAATTATAATATATAAATTAAGATGGATAGGTCTATTTTGAAAAATAGATTTACATCCAGTTAACATTTAGATTACAAATTATAAAATTAGGTAGATTTAGTTAAATTACTAAAATTACAAATTTTTTAGATAAAATCTGCCTTCGATAGGATTTAAACATGAAAAGTAAGACTTAAAAATTGATGGGAGAAGGGTGTTACCTGATATTTTAATTGTGTATGGTGTATAGATAATGGCATAGTTAATCACTAAATTTGTAGTACATGGTATTGTTAAAAAGTTCATTCAAAATTATTACTTACGGATTATTTGTTTAATAGTAAGTACATGGTATTTAATGTACAAAACATTATTGGACTTAATAAGAAGTACATGGAGTAATAAATATAGACTTTTAAATAACAGTGATCCAAGTAATTTAATAAAACAAGTATGATAATTGATCAAAAGGTTTTAAAACAAAACCTATGAGATGATTTAAGCGAATGTTTTAACACAACAATATCATTTTGAAGACATATCAGTAGACATTTATGCATGTTTACGTACAACAAGATAATATATCTAGGTATACATGTTAAATCATCACCATTTGTTTGTGTTTTTTAAAAAATCAGCAGATTTATACCCGAAAGTAATTTACATTAACCAAAAAACTGAGATGATTTAAACGAATACACAAAGTAGAAAAAACTAATTATAGAGACATTGTAATTTATATATTAAAAATCTATACCGAAAAATCGAGTCTGAAATATTTCCACAATCGTTCGCAAGGGTCGGACTACTACGAGAACACGCATGTAGTATACAGACTAAGATGAGTACGTCTCCATCGGAGAAGTTAGAGTCAAACGCAAAGAAGCCGACAATTAGATTAAAATCGGGATTAGCCACTGTCCCTGGCATGCAATCGGAATAATTGAGATTTGAATGAATACAAAAAACATCAGATCGATGGATGAATTTCTGGAGCAGACAAAAGAGAGGTGCGAATGTAATACGGAGTATGGAAGGTGAGAGGTGAGAGCATCGGTTTAAAAGATGTCTCTCTGGCTGGATGAAGGCGGCTCGCTATTTTGTATTTTGGGTAATGAATTTGTGACACCCTGAAAATTTAAATAAAATTATAATTATAATATTAAATAAAATGAATAAAAATAAAACAGATAAAATTTATCTGTTAAAAGTAAAATAGAAATAATCTGTTTGAAAATGAAACATTTCATAAAGTAAAATAAAATTAATAAAAGTGCATAAAGGTGGACTTTTCAAAAACGTATTAAAACACTAGCGCGGTAACGCGCGTTGCGCGATATCCGTGCCCAACGCTAGGAAACAAAAAACAGATTAGTTGATATTGGTTTGACAATGATGATTAATAACTCTTGTTAACAAAGGAAGCAGATGAGGAGTCATAATATCAAGATCTCGTGAACAAAAAAACATGAATCATAAGGGAAATACATAGTATATTTCAACTATTTTGACCAAATTATAGTAGACACTATGCGTGCTCAATAAATCAGCCATATAAAGATACAAATCTGTTTCATATCACATATTTAATCAATATAAATTGGTCCCATAAGTCAAATTTGTTTTTGATTTACCTGCTAACAAAAATAAACAGAGTAACTATCTTAACTACTTAGTTGGGGCAAGCGAATGATAGATAGTCATCACAGGAAAGTTTTTTTTTATTCTTTACTTGGCCACGCAGAATCCAAATCAAGTCAACAGAGAAGTAACTCCCAAATATAATAGACACATCCTGAAATTAATATAAAAATTGATGTGAAAACTAACACAATTAAGAACTAAAATTGAGGACATAAACAATCACGTACTCGATGCAGATCTAATCACGTAGAACATTTTTTCAAAACAAGGAGCGCCACCTCTAGTCCACCTTCATTCTCACCCTCTTTCTAACTCCTGAATAAATAGTAGTTAGGTTTGCAAAAAGAAGAAAACATGAATCAAAACCGCAGTACCTGAGCCATTGATATTAGTCATCTCATTATTAAAGAAGGCAAAATAAATCAAAATTGAAGCACCTATAATCCAACCGTTGAAACATCCTTCGCTTTTTCTGAATAAAAAAAGATTGAAGCAAAGCAAAGTCAAAATCAGTAGGAAAATGTCCTTCACTCATTAAAAGTTGCATTAATCAGTCTTATATATGAAGGTTTTTGAAGTCTTACAGGAAAATGTTCTTCACTCACTAAATCAGTCTTATATAAATAAGTTAATATCCAATTTATTGTTGCTAATAAAAAGTGTTCAGAAAAATTGTTTGGTGTTTCATGATAATAAGTAGTAATATGCTTTTGTCTCGGTCCCCACAGACAAATAAGTTTCACAAACAATGGTGTTAAACATTGCTAGATTAAAAAAAATCAGTGATTCTCACCTCATAATCAACTCCTTGCACATAAATGTAATCTGAATGAAATGAAGAGAACCAAGTCTTGCTATCTGCAATATAGATAAAACTTAATGGTGATAGGAAACCAAAGGACTACTTTTGATAATAAAAAAACACATTATCCAGATGAATGCTTTCCTGATAAGTATCACCAATAGAAGAATCTGACCTCACATTTTGAGCAGTTCATCCATCTTGACACTGTTGACCATTTGCATTCAATGAGTTTAGGGCAAGGAAGAGGAACATATATCAATATGGCTTCCCCCAAATAGACCCCATTTGGTAAAGGATATTTGGCTAAAATGGACATGTCCGCTGAATTTTCTGAAATGTAAAGAATTTTGTAACATTCATTTCAGCCAAATAATTAAGAGTATGTTTGGTAGCTTGATTGAGTTGTGCTCTGCTTTTTAGCAGTCAGGTTTTGACTTGCATATTTGGCTGAAACAAATTTCAAAAGGTAGCCTAAGACGTTAAACAACAACAGTTTGCGATCTTAAGTGATATTTCATGTTGGCATGGAAGAGTATCATTAATATGCAGTAATAGCACAATAATACAATCAGACAATTAGTAATATATCAGGTTGGTGATTTGATGAGCACTAACAAGTAACAACCGAAGGGAAAATATGAAATTAAATGCAACAAAGTGAACCAGCCAGCAAAAATTTCACATTAACACCCATTATCGTATTGCCGTCACATAACAAGTCAAATAATATGCTGGGAGAGCAGGAAATATCACCATATAAGCTAGGGGTATTAATGATTATTTGTCTTAATACTCCCTAATAAGAATCCTATCTGACTTTTGATTGCAATGGCAATGGAAATCAGAGTATATAAAACTGTTTATTGTAAAAAGCTACCTGAAAAACAACTCTTTGTTCAAAACTGCTAAAATCAATGACCAGGTATATGTGAGAACTTTCATTGTTTTTTTTTCTTGTTCCTTGATTTTCTCCATGGCTTTGAAGGCAAGGCGATCCAGCCAATCAACTCGTTGAATCTGCCCGCGCTCATACTTATTCACAAGCTTTTCTAAGCGCTTCGATTCCCCATGTCCCATACTCCTCGATCTATTGTGTTAAACTTTTAATTAATATAAAAAATAAAATCGTATGCATAAATCACATGAATGATAGATGATAAAATGCAGAGAAGTATCAACATATGAGAGCAAATTATACTCTTCTGTTTACATAAATTATATTAATCATATATGCTAAATGTAGACGAATATAAATATAAAACAAACATCCATTTTTTGTTCTTCTTTTTACTTGAGTAAATCCTTCGGGGATTTGTTCATCGATCTCTATAGGACCTGAAACAGAAAAAGTTAGAATTTGGGTGTCCTCAGAAATAGTTTCATCACTGGACAACATTGGGACATGTGAACAGAATGTATTATCGAGCGTTGGATCAGAGAGGATCTCATCATTTCCATGTTGGGCCTCAAACTGAGCCTTGCCAGCGTCATAGGTGACCGGTTGATGAATTTCTTTGGTTACCGCCACATGAAGGGTGGCCACCGGGGATTCATCACGGGCCACAATCTGTTGGTTAGTAGGCTCAACACAAATAGTAGCAGCAATAGGGGCCTCTGTGCGGATAGATAGTGTAGCATCAACAGGGACCTGTGAGTGGTCTGTTAATTGCATTAACAGGGACCTCTTACAAACATTATCAGCAAGACTTAATTCTGTAGCTCCAACACTAATTGAGCCAAGATCAGAAGCAAAAGAGTGTTGGACAACAAGAGTAACAGCAATAGGGGCCTCGTTATGGTCTGTTGCCAACACTATATGATCATGGCTCTTTTTTTTAGCTACTAAACCAAAAGCAAAAATATCAATAGGGGCCTCAACGATATCATTAACAGGAGAAGTCTACATCTGTAAATCATTTGCTAAAATAGGCATGACAATAGGGACATCATTTCCAACACCAAATGATCCAAGATGAGATGCAAAAGAGCGTGGGACAGAAATGGTAGCATCGAAAGGGGCCTGATATGGTCTGTTACCAGCACCATAGTACCATAGGGCCTATTTTTAGCATATGAATGAAGAACAGAATAATCAAAAGGGGCCTCAGCATCCTCATTAACGGGAAATGCCTACACCTGTTAAGCATTTGCAATAATAGGCATGACAATAGGGGCAGAAATTACAGGCACAACAACATCAGTAATAAGCAATTCAACATCATTAACGGGTTTCACAATTGCATTGTGTGTACGTAGGGTCCTTTGCAGTTGGTTCAGAGACTGCAAAATCAATTTCAATGGAACCCAAATATGAGTTTAGAAGTAATAGCATGAATAGCAGTGGACTTGGGGACCTCAGACTTGAAATTTATCAAAACAATATTTGAGTGAAGCAAACAAATTGAATAAGCCTGCAAAAAAAGCCTAACCTTTCAAAAGCCCTACGAATCACAGGGATGGGAAGTCTACCGAAGGGAAAAGTACCAACGATTGCAAATCGGAAAGGAAGAGATAGAACCTGTAATTCATCTTCGGATAATGAGACGGACGAAAAGCATCTGATGTTACCCGGCAAGCCCAGGTCGGACGCGTCGGAAAACGAACAAGTGTGAGTGTGTAAACGATGGCCTGGGATAGAATCCCTCACCATGGAAGCATAAGATATCTTCGCCTACGAGTTCACCAGAACTATTCCTTCCGCCGGCGGCATTTCTACCGCCCTGACTTCTGGTCATCCGGAGGAGTAAATCGCAGAACGATAGAGATGATAGACCTTCTCGCCCTAAGAAGCATCAAATGAATCGGGAAAGCATCGTGGCTGAGTAAATGTAAACGAATGGTACGCTGATCAATGGTGGATAGCGGTCGCAGAACCGACTTAGCCACCTTAAGGTGTATCATCGGTAAAGGGAAAAACGGGGAAAACAAACGGAGAGCGCTGTTATGTGGGTTTGAGGCAAAAACGGGTAACAGCCCGGGACTGTTCAAACGGCAAATGAGCCAGGCTAACCCCAACTCACTCTTATCATTTTTAGTAGATACGGAGTACTAGCTACTCATAACCGTATAATTAATTTATTTAGTAATAATAATGATACAACAACACTCCATATACGAAGTATAAAGTAATACAATAGTACATACAGTATAACTACACGAATCCTAACGCACGAAACCTACGAACGGCTGAGGCATTAAAGGGCTGCGGATTATTACGCATGAAACCCTAAAGTCTAGAATCCTCTACTGGGCATATATATACATAACGTTTACGATCGGAAACCGGTTACCATCTCTGCACTACGCCGCACACAAACCTGTGAACCACATATATACATATAGTATACTATACTGCGAAACAACGAATAACTTTGCTAAACGATCGAAACAAACCCCAAGCATGACATAACACTACCTGCGAATCCCTGCGGTAACACCTGTGTCACCCGAAGAGGGAGGAAGAGAAGGGACCAGTCGGATATTTCGTCGTCGCCCAGCATCACGTATCACCGGAGAGGTTCGTTTCAAGCAGCGACGCCGGAGAAGAAGCTATGACCATTTACCGTTGCCGGAGTGAGTCACTGACCGTACTGCTCTGTACAAAAACAGAGGAACCAGCCCTTGGAGACGAGCAGCCCGAGTAGATTGCCACTGCGTCGCCGGAAGAGGAAGAACAACACGCCGGACATGCCGCTGCTGATGGACGAACTGCCGAGCTATTGACAAAGCCTGGGTCTCCGCCACCTCAGTTGAACTGTTGAACTGATATTGCCGCCGGAGAGCACCACCTGCGCACGTCGGCTGAGCTTCCACGAAGACGACGAATTGAATGTACGTAGACTCTACTCTGTAGACTCTAGTCTTCTGCTATTCATTGTTTTCGACCGAGATTTGTTAAAAGTTTAGTGGGGATGAATTATTATCTCTGTTCTAAAAATCGTTCTAGGCGTCCGACTAGTCCCCGCTTAGGCGCTAGGCGGTGGTTGGGCGCCTCGAATTTCGCCTAGGCGTTCCGACTAATTGGTTTACCGTCTAGGTGAATTAGTCGGCCGCTTATGGTGCCTAGTTGCCCGCCTAGAGCGCCTAATCAGCAACCTAGGTCATCTAGATTCGCCGAACATTACTTTACTTTGTAATTTTAATTTTCTAAGTGATATAAGTATTTTAATTTTAGCCCCGAATATAAAGAAATGGAGTTGTAAATTAAGATAAAGACTATATATGTTTGTATATATACCTAAATTTTATTATTATTTATATATGTATGTGTATATATGTATTACAGGTAAGAATACATTATTACTTATCATATTTATGCAAAAACATGGATAAAAATGGAATTTATATGTCACCGACTAGTCCCCGCCTAGGCGCCCGCCTAGGCGCCCGCCTAGGCGCTGGGCTAGCGCCTGACTAGCGCCTAGCGCCTTTTAGAACATTGATTATTATTAATAATAACAATAGATGGGCTGGCTGATTTACTCCTAAAGTGAAGGGATAAAGGCTTAATTTGACTAACTATTCAGGATACATAAGATTGACTAAAGTCAGGACTATAATCGTTATTGATTCTATAATTTTAATATTCTTAGAAGGTGAATTTGGAGGAGATCGAGATAGAAGCTTTAATTAGGAATTATCGCGATTTGAGGTAAGTTTCACGTCAACCAAAATTATAACTTTTCCTCGCAAATCTATTTATGATTATTTATTTGAATTATTTGAGTATTTGATGATATTTCTAATTACATTTACGTATTAAATTAGTTGCGATTGAGACTTTTATTTGAATATTTGGAAATTGTTATGAATTGTTATTTGAGTATACGGTATTGGATATATTTTGAGTATTTGAGTTATCGTGTGAATTGTTGTGAGGATTTGAGCTATTTGTGAAGTATTCTATATTTTGGCTCTTTTGCGAAATTTTAATGTATGACACATTTGAGGGTAATTTGTTGGAGTTAATATTTTATATTGTGGATTATTTTGTGGAGTTTGGATTTCGTATCCATTTTGGTTGAGGTTGTGATATTGGTTTGGATCTTTGAAAATAAATTGTGATTTTTGGTGAGCACCCAGAGAAATCTGTGGTGTCAGTTTGCCACATCCGGATAAATGTGGTATTGGTGAGTGGTAATGGCTATAAGTCTAAATCCACCAGGGGTACTTCCCAAAAGCGGAGTATCCCAGCTTAATCGTAGTGTAGTTGGTAGAAAAATCCCGACTACTCGGGCTTCTTACTACCCGGAGGGCTTGGAATCCCTTTTAGGGGGTGTGCACACTTAAGGTAGGAGTTCGGCTTCCACTAGCTTTGATTGGGTTTGAGGTGAACATGACTTTGATTGGATTGAGGTGATTGAGATTATTTGATTGGCTTGATTTGGACTTGAGGTGAATATTATTTGATTGGATTTGTGGTGAATTAAAGTATTGGATTGATTGGAATTGTTGGATTATTGGATTGATTGGAATTGTTGGATTATTGGATTGGATTATATTTGGATTGAGTTGTTAAATTATTTGTGGGTTTTATTTTTGGATTTGATTTGGTTTGATTATGTTGAGTACTCTTTATTATCAGCATTTATAAGTATTTTGAGATATTTGGTGTTTGATTTATGCTTTGGAATTATTGTAATGATTTTTTGTGGTTTTACGTATATTTGGTATTTTTGTAATTTTTGTGGTTGGGAAATATTTGGTTATATTTGAAGTACTATTATTTTACTAGTGAATTATGCTATGAGAAGATTTTATAAATTGTTTTAAAAAAATATTTTACCTCCTAAATGTTTTTTCAAAAACATTAAATTTTATTATTTATTATTTTATGGGGTTAGGTGGAACTTACTTAGCATTGTTGCTAATTTTTGTTTTCTTTTGTTTTTCTTTCTGTACTTGATTTTGTACAGGTGACGCTTTGATGATGATGTTGATTTCGAGAGAGCTTCCGCTAGAAAACATAGTTAGTAAATCATTGTAATTCCATTTTCAATATCTTTAGTTAGTGAATAATTATTTTTGGAGTTTAAGTTGTTTTAGCCTGTGCACTCGGTTAAAGGAGAATCGAGTGTGGCGGTAATGCCCCTATTTCTCTTTTGGTTTTCCGCTGCATAACTCTGATGTTTTCGAATAAAGTTAATATTTCTTTTGAATAAAGTATTATTTTTGGGTGAGAAATTTGGGGGTGTTACAGAATTTATATATTTAGGGTTAGGACTTAGGAGTTAAGAGTGCTATGCATATACCGTATTTGGTTATTGGGAATGGGTAGGTTGGGTCAGGTCCAAATTTGGGCTGTGAAATTTGGGTTGTGGTGGTTCTAAAATTGGGCTAGATTGAGTTCTAAATTGAATGAACAGTATTCATTTA